TGGAAGTTTAGTAGGCTAAATAGAACAGCAAGACATCATTGAAGTTGAGCAATGTTGAGAGGCAGCACCAGTGGCAGATTTTGAAGGACTCAGGCAGCTTCCTAACAAAAGTGACTGGGGAGCGTTAAGATTAAAATCTTAGCCTTGTCAGATCCTTCAAAATCCACCAGGAGGTTTCAGAGGATTTTGCTGGATTGAGGAAGGCAGAGATGCCTGCAGAGTGTTACAGTAGAAAGTTGTTTCCTGTGGAGGATTTTCAAGGATTTAGGAAAATTCCGTATGAAAGAATCAAAGCTTTTAAACTTCCCCAGTCTTAGCCACTTCCCTACTAAGGCCAGCTACCATTTTACAAGTGTTGCAGCTATCAAGCACATGTTCTTCTGTCTACACTTGTTTGGTTCGGCAGGTTCCTCCTGGGCAGACACAAGGCAGCCATTGATGTGTATTCAGAAGCTGCCCGGATGAGCAGTCGCGACTGGGAGATAAGTCACAACCAAGGCGTGTGCTACATGTACCTCAAGGAGTACATGAAGGTAAACTGGTCTAAGACTCGCCAACTACTTCACCCTGGGTGGCGGTTTGATTGCCTGTGTCATTAACAGAGGTAGTATCGTCTTGCAAAATTCTGCACGTACAGTAGTGCTGCACGACATTTATACTTGCCGAAATTCATACTCAAGTAGCTTTGGGCCCCACAACTGTCACTGTGGGATGTCGTCTTGTAATTGCCAAAAAACGATGATGCGGCAAGAAATGTTCCACAAACCTTGAACAAACAACACCTAGGGTCAACATTTTGTAAAGTCCCAGAAGACTGGTTGTGGTATCTTCTCATTTTAAAAAGTCTGTATTTTGGGCTGAAAATATTACGTTCGTTGTGGAATAATACCATCGGGTTAGTGCCCCAGAACATCATTTTTGGGTACTTGCTAACATACGACGTGTGGAAATATTTATCTAGAAGAATCGCACCCTGTTGTTAACGTTTTTGTGTATTTTTAGCATTTTTTTGGGTTTTTGACAGTCACCAGAAGGTAAACCCAACTTATTAGAGAGGTTTAACTTTACACTTGCTGTTCTGGAGTTGAGGCGATGTTTTCTTTGTTTAGGCAGACGCCATTATGGCATTCTAATTATGCATGTGTACGACAATTTTGGACAATTTTTTACTTTGGGATAAATGCAGTAGGTAAATGTACACAATTCTACATGTACATGTATATCGTCACGGTAACCAAATCCGCAAGTTGCAGTTCTTATCCAATCAAAGTGAAGGAGATTTTAACTTAAGGTTTGCATGTACAAACTTTGAAAGCTCCACAGTGTCTTTTAAAAAAGGTGCTGCCTCAAGTTTTTAAAATTTGTTCTGACTTTAAAATGAGAATGTTTCTTTACATTCATTTGTACTTGATTTTATTTTTGGTATGGTGACTGTTTACCACAAAAGGAAAATCTTTTATCCTGAAGTGTATATACGGACAGCTGAAATACTGAACTGGTTTAATTCAGTTTTGTAGTATGCGGGGCTAAAGTGGGTTTGTCATCAAGGAAATTTGACTGGCTCTGGTGGGTTCATTAAGTCGTGTAAAATGTATTTAACCCATTGCGGTTAAACTGGACGAAGTTAAATTACTCTTGTTTGAGATGAGAGTCCAGCAATCTAAGCATCTTCATTTTCCAAAGCATCTTATAAAGCTGGGTACCTCAGGGTTTTATTTGTGTAGTTGTGCAGAACAAGATTCTCTGTTATGAGTATCTTTATTTTTCTCATCTAGATTTGAAAACAGCAAGCTCGTGCTTGGTGTTGAGACTTTGCCTGTGGCCAAACTTGATTCTTGTGAGTTTCTTGTGTGTTTTGCAGGCCAAAGAGTTGCTAAAGCAGGCTATCCAGTTTAACCGACATGATCTGTCCTACATCATGCTAGCAAAGATCTATCTGATGGAAGGGGATATCCACATGGCCATCGATGTCTACAAGCGAGCCATTGAGTGAGTGACTAAATATGCAGTCAGGTTGGAATAGTGGTTCTTTCCTTGCCTTCCACCTCTGCGGTCCGGGTTCAAATCCTCACCCGGTCCACATGTGGATTAGGTTTTCAGTCCCTACCTGATTTCGTGGGTTGTACCCAGAATATTCCTCTGGGGTTTTCCTCCCACCTCTAAAACTGTAACTGCTTCTCATTGTCTCCTCTCTACAGGTTTCTTCAGGCTTACAAGAAGTAGTGTTTGAATGAGATGACACTTTTAATTTGTTTCAATCATATTTCTGTATACATTATGACAGGGTTAACCGGTAGAGAACTAACCCATGTTGTAACACACAGCCATGTAGGGTCCACTTATGTACACCAGTGCGTGAAATTCACGTCAACATAAACTAGGCAGGTCAAGACATTGTGCCTCTAATTTCTGAAATGTTGTACCGATCGGGCACTTTTCTTATTTTACATTGTGTTTGGGCAGTGGTGTGCTATAAAACACATGGAATGGCATCATTCAGTTACCAAGGTTACGTTGTCATGATAGTGCACGTCTAGCTATGCCCCCCTGCATCTGTGGTCTTACACAATCCCTTTGGGTGCATAAATGTACATTATTGATTGACCTCATTGACCTACTTTGTATATGTGAATAGTAGGTTGCAGTCTAACTGTTCATAGCTATGATGATGGCTGTAGTTTTTTCCATCAAGAATCTCAACAGGGAAACAGTGCAGACAGCTTTGCCGCTTTCAGATGCGGCCTCATAGTTGTATTGATAGCACATTAGCTGCATCATTCTTTAATTTGGTCAATAATGTGTCAGGTTACATATTTACAGTTGTTATATCTTGAAAACTTCTACACGTCCTTTCATTGGCCGAGAACAGTCATGTGACCAGGCAATACAAATGCAAAGTACCCCTATCCTTGTGCATCTCACATTGGGATATCATAGATTAGTCCTCCCCTGCAGACAAAACCGGAGCCAGGGACTGCAAAAATTGCTTTTAAGATGTAAAGATATTTCTTTTGAGCAAGGCTTGTGTGACCAACATGATTAAATCAATTCAGTGATGTACATGTACCAAGTCCATATGGGTCACACAACCTTCTGTCGCACTCCTTGTTTTGACTGAATTTGAGACACCTTAGATGAAGAAAAGACAGTGAAGGTTCAAGACAGGGGCATGTCTCTTGGTTGCATAGCTTCGCCATGGGTGCTATGATTGTTAGGGGTGTTCAGCATCATAGCCCACGTCAGCAGTTGGTAAATGTGCAAGTGCAACAAACATCTTTTCTTTTTCATGTGGCTTTATTATTGGCAGGTTTTCTCCAGAGAATCCCGAATTGTTGACCACACTGGGCTTGTTATATCTCCAGGTAAAGGCTCGGTTCTCTTAATTATTTGTGCTAGTGATAACATAGTCTTGCTCATGTTTTTGGTTATGGCTTATAACAACCGAGCCACCACTGCCTTAGTAATACAAGAAATTAGTTAAGCGAGCTCAGTTAAAGGAGATTAAGGCTGCATCCGAATCTGTTGTCTAGAGCTAGGTCTAGGTCTTCGCTCCATTGGAAATGTGTGGAGACGCACAGTCAATAGACCTAGCCATAGCTCTGGAAGCCCGTTTCGGACACGGCCTAAGAATCCATGTTCATTAGTATACAAGAACCTGTTTCGTGTTCCTGCTTTTAAATAACCTTAGATCAGCCACTGTCAGAATGGGATTGTGTGGAAAGTCCAAAAGCTGTACTATTTGATTGGTAAAAGACTACAAGACTGTCACATGCATTTAATAACTTTGTCAAACACACTCTGCACCCGCCGTTTTTAGTCGTAGGCTGACTTTCTTCACACTAGTGGTGCATCTCCTACAGGTGTGTATATGTACGTGCCCTCAACCATTTGTAAGCAACGTTTTACTTAGACGCTTTGACCACTGACTTCTTCACAGGTAAACCAGTACCAGCGAGCTTTTGAACACCTTGGCAATGCCTTGACCTATGACCCTAGCAACGTCAAGGTAAGCTGCCTCGAGTACCTTTGCCATGCTTGGACTAAGCTCAATTGAATGCTGGATGTGTAACTGTAAGTCACGAAACCTGGCAGTGAATTTCAATGTTGGAATGCGTTCACTTTCAGCAGATGTGGGGAGTGAATTCTAGTCTTGTAATTGATATCAAATGTTGATTTTTTGTGTGTATTCATTGGAAAAAGGTTCAAAATGTTGTGCCCTTAGTATTTGCTCACATGCTTGGAACACAGTTGTGGCGGAAAGATGGCACTGCTACAACACCATTTCCCTGGATTGTACAGCCCGTCATTAACAAATCATCCGATTTTTGTCTTCACCAGGCTATTCTGGCTGCCGGCAGCATGATGCAGCAACACAACGACTTTGACGTGGCGCTCACCAAGTACCGCATCGCAGCCTCGGCTGTGCCGGAGAGTGCCCCCCTCTGGAATAACATCGGCATGTGCTTCTTTGGCAAGAAGAAATACGTAGCTGTAAGTTCGTTCCACCTGTCCCAGATAGTGAGAGGCCTATTGACACAGAGGAGATTTGATTAATTTACCGATCAGTATTGTAGCCATTGAGACTGGTTCAGCGCAGTCTCGCTCTCAGAATGCATGGTCTCAGAAATACTGATCTTGGTCTTAGACCTTAGAATTTTGGTATGAAACCACCACAAGACCAATAAAAATACGCTTAGAAATAGAAATATACAAACATGTTGCCATTGTTTTGTTGTTTATATATTGATTCATATTTTGTGCATGTTAGTTTGGTCAAATGCAGCTTTCTTCTCAAGGTGGTCTACTATTTGAAATGGATTTAGTGGATTTAGATATGGTTACTCTTAAATCAGTATGTACACATTCCATACTTTCACGAGTTTGGGATTTTCTGTCCTGTACTACAGCAGGTCATTCATTTTTAACTGAAAAAACAAACAAGAAGTGACAAATTGGCATCTTTCCATCGCAGGCCATAAGCTGCCTGAAGAGGGCGGCATACCTTGCGTCATTTGACTGGCGTATCCTATACAACCTGGGTCTGGTCCACCTCACCATGCAGCAGTACGCTTCAGCGTTTCACTTCCTCAGCGCGGCCATCAACCTCAAGCCCAAGATGGGACAGCTGTTCATGCTCCTCGCAGGTTTGTTTTTGGCAACAAAGCTGCCTGCCGATGAAATCAATTGGACCTGCATGTTGTATGAAGAGCTACGTTGAAGAACTAGAATACTAAGTTGCTGTGTAAAGTGAAGCCTGCTTGGTGCATCCATGTTTGTGCATAAACCTATGGGAAACTCCAAATTGGGTCATGTTGCATTCTTGAGGTCTGGATGATGTCACTGATTCTTGATTCTTCTCTCTGATTGGTCAATTGACAGCTATTCCATCTTTCACACTCAAAACTCAAAGGGGCAAAAATAGTGTCTATGGGGAAAATCTGAATTATTGACACAAACTCTGAACCTTTACATCAAATGTGCCTGAAATCTCATTATTTATGCGCCATAAACATTTCCTGCACTGTACTGAAAAGGCTTTAGGTATTTCTTTCACATTGCTGCCAAAAAAGAGGAAAGCATGCAAAACCCTGTACAAAGTGAATGGAGAGTTGCCCCTTTGCCCAGACGTGAGTGCAATAAATGGAACAACCTCCGACCTCGAGAATATCTTTATCTGTAATCTAAAACAATGTGTCAACTAAGCAGATACGCTGAAACCCCAAAGAACAATCAATAAACAATGCAAATGCATGCACATTGCACTGCTGATGAATGTTATTGAGGCTTTTTCACTAATGCGTCATACTGCCAATAAAAACGGGCCGTGTGTTGTTTGTTTATATTGTACTTACACGTTGCAGTTTGAGTACATCATTCAGAATTTGTCGTACTCATTTCATTATGTTCTGCAAATACTCACGAGAATTCAACATGTTCGTGCCCTGGAGGCGTCAAAAACTCTGTATGAGGAATGACAGGCTAGCCAGCTTGCAAATTTATATCCAGCAAGAAATGAGACCAAGGGGTACCCCCCCAACATGTACAATCGCTATACACACTCTAGACTACTGTTATCTAACACCCCCCCATGTCTGAAAAGAATTCCTCAGATTCCAGTGAAACAGTGACCAACACAAAGCAGGAGGGTTCTCTCCGTCTCATATCTTGCTTCATATGCGCAAATTAATGCTTCTTTATGATAACTTCAAGTCAGTGAGCAAGTTGGAATTTAAAAAATGACCTGGCCAGATCATTCAAGAACAGAGCACCTGATGAATGCAGTTCCAACCTGAACATGTTCATCGGTGTATGTGATTCGGCCTGCGGCTGACATTGATCTCAAGTGATTTATGGTGCTGCACGTACAGCAGGCACTTTTAGGTTCAAAATATGCACTGTTTTTTTTACATATGGGCGTTTAAAAGGGAAATGTACAGGTTTTTAAAAAAAATAGTTTCTGGATAAACCTGAAAATGAATCAGAGTAACATGTGGCCCTATGGGGCTTGGCCGATTCTGCTCAATGCACCTGCTTTGATTTAGCCAGCAACCGGGTCATTCCATACCTTCTCACCTCTATGAGAATGGTTTGAATCAGTGAGGGCCAAAAATGAAACAAAAAAAGTCAGAAAACAAATGGTCATTTGGAGATTAGCTTTGGTGGTCGACAAAATCTCATAAATTTGCACGTGTAGTCACGAATGAACAAAGTGGCGGATGCCGTTCTCAGAGTAAGGAACCCATATACTTCATGTTCTTTACAGTTGCCTTGACACATCTTGACGACACTGAAAATGCAAAGCAAGCGTACCAACAGGCTGTGCAACTTGATCCGTAAGTTACTGAGAGTTCTGTGGCCTACAGAGTGTGGTTAGATGTATGTATGTGTGTAAAGGGCATTAATGCGAGAACCAGCGTGTGAACCAACACGTGCGCATACTCCATTCTATTGCACTTCACTTCAAAATGACGTCACACTTTGGTACTCTATAGGGAATGTGTGAATAGGCAAACCTTTGCTATCTGAACTAAATTGGGACATCAACGCCGTGGTTGGAAACTTGGTATGTGCTATCCATTATCTAGGAGCCTTCTCAGAGGGAAAAAAAATGAAGAGTTTGATAAATTTGGTGCGACAAGAAATTTACTCACTGAAATCATGAAACTCCACGTAAGACCAAGTGCAATGTTCTTTCCTACCGTCACATGATCCTAGCCTGAAATAGCCTCTGGAAAATGGAAGCACATTGTGGCTTTCAACTTGATGAACAAAACAAAATGATTTCGTCTGTGAACTTTTGTAGCAAAGATGCCAGCATCCTTCTGAACTACTCCCTGTTTCTCTACAACCTCGGCGATCGCAAAGGGGCCACAAAACACTTCAGTGCATACGAGCAGAGCTTGCAGAAGCTGAGAGAGGCAGGAACTGTTGATGTAGACCCAGAGGTGAGACTGCTGACTTCATTTCAACTTAGCTTTACTTTCAAGGCTCTTATGTTGCAGTAATTCTGCCATCGCACATGGGTTTCGATATAACCACTGGAACGATGGACTGAGGCCACTGATTTTTAAGGTCGGTCTTGCAGCATGGACTAGTACAAGGCTAGCACTCAAGTGGTTTGTAACATAGTGCTCTGTGAATTCTGAAATTTTGTGAAAACAAAAATTGAGCTTCATTTTCTTTTGCGTAAAAGGTTGGTGCACATTTTGTACAAGCGTATGTATTACATAATTGCGATTGCACAGTATACCTTTACATTTACTGTATTGTATGTGGTGTGTTCTGGTCTAGTAAATTTTATGAGAGGCTGACGGTGTGGTCTTTTTTTTTTCAAGAAATTCAACCCCTGACACACTAAAAATTAATCCTCTAACTTATGGAGCAGAAAATCTGAATCTTCAGGGACTGGATGGATGTTTGTAGTACGCTGGGTTTAGTGGTAAACATTCATTTCTTAGAGTAAGCAGAGCCAAGACGTTGAAATATCACCTGCCCATTGATTGTTCTAACCCTAACAGTCCTCACACTTCCAACAGGTGGAATGAGGTCTATTGGGGTTGATGACAAATTTGCCTGCGGTGTTCTCAGATCAACTGAAAATGCACGGATGGAATGGTGGCTTGAAACCTCTTAACTGATTGGGAATTTCTGTAGGATCATATTAATTGTAGGACAAACTCATACATTGTGTGAAATGTTGGGTTCTGCTACATTCAGCTGGCCTGATTCTTTGGCACGACTGATTCTATTATTTTTTGCTTTGCATCCAGAAAATATACAAATGTGGTTTTATGGAGTATCTAATGTATCAAACATACTGGCCATCGAGTTTAATGGCCAGTATGTTGCATTGCTATTGCACTGACTTGTACCTTCTATGGCACAGCGCAGACATCCGGGAGATTCACAGAAATGTGGGTAGCAACTACACCGCACTGACGAAAATAACTGCAACGAGTGTGTGCGTACGTGTAGCCTGATCCTTGGACTGGCTGGTGCGTGCGTACGTCACCGTGGTCACTGTTTTCACCGGCATGGTACCTGCCATTTTGCCTGAATCCCAGTTGTCCATGCTGCCCCATACAAACATTTCTACCTTCTGCTTTCTTTCATCATTTTCCAAATCTTGAGCAATCAGGCTGGACGTTTGTGATCACCCATTCCAAAACCAGGCTGAAAGCTTGTTAGTTGTTATCCAGGAAATGAAACCAGTACAATGTATGCTCAGGAGCAATGGAAATTTAACAACTTTCACTGCCTGCAATCGCCAAAGTTTTCTGCAGAGAAAATATTAATGTGGATCACTCTGAAGTGTGAAAATCAGCAGTGGGGGAGACGAATTGTCAAACGTCAACATTGCCCACCTCAGCCTGGTTTTGGAAAGATGGGGACATTTTGAAACAGGTGGATTGTTGTTGTTGCTTAACTGATCAGTTAATTTTACTTACGTCCCATGCAGCTCATCGATACAGCTAGTAAGCTAGGGCCAGCCTTGCAAGTGGGCGAGAACCTTGTTTGGAAGGACAAGACCAGCCAGCTGACAGCCGCATCTGCACCGCTGCCCGCCCCACCGGCCTACGCCGATGCATCAGCCGAGATCCTGGAGAATGCCCCTTCACCTCCGACCCACGACCCTGCCGCATCAGAGAGGAATAGCAACTCCATGAGCGAAAGAGAAGCTCTACCATCTTAGTTAAGAAAGGCTCTGGTGCCTGTGTATGACTGACATTGGGAGCATTTTAAAAAAAAAAATTAAAAAAATTTAAATTAAAAAAAAAAAAAGAGTCACAGGTCTCCTGTGCTGCTTCTGAGTTAAAGACTTCAAAAATATTTTTTGCACAGTATAAGACAGTAGGTTTGCTGAAAATTTTTCAAACAATATTGCCCATTTTTATCATTCTGCCAAACTGAGTGATAGGCCAACTTTAAAACAGAGACTCAGCTTGCTATGATTAAAACATGAACACACTAACTGCCATAGATAGCTCTGTGCCTCATTTTGTAGGATCCAGTAACATTCAGATGGGCCGGTTTGGTTTTACAGGTAATTCAAGGGCTGACGTTAGCCATCAGCAAAACGCACTCACACTGGAACCTTTTGGTCAAGCTGCCCTGTGGTTGTAACCTTTACTATTGGGATGTGTGCCCTCTTGTGGTTATCATTGCACACATTGGTGTTGGGGATATCTTTATGGTTTTTGCCCCTGCATTTTGGTGTATTCATCTCTAGTTCATTCACCAAACACACGACACGTTTTTTGCCTCACTGGTTTGTTTTAGTCTCGCACATTTTGCAAAATCTGTGAACGGCACCAAACACTGCAAAGTGGGGACCATTTAGAAAACTACAGATTTTTTGGCACAACTCAGTAAGGTTGACTTGACACGCTGCCGACTTTGTTTTACATGTGAATGAGCACGCAGGTGAATGTTTTCCTAGCTGTAACTATAAACTGATGATTTCATTTTTTGTGACTTCGTGAGTAGCCACTGCCTTTGGTTTGGTTCACACAGATGGTGGCAAAACACAATCTATGTGTTCTCTCCATCATTTCCTGATGCCATTTGTTGTCAAAACTGAATAAACCGCTTGCTGACAGTACTATTTGTGGTCGTAAATTTTGACTTTGTAAAGAGGCACGCAGCCAATTTTTGACATGCAACCAACACTATACATGTATATACCAATACAAAAGAGTCTTGTGAACTCTTTGTATCGATATCTTATCGGAACTACATACCGGTATTCTGACACCCTGAGCCGTGCTCAGAGTGACAACAACAGGCTATTCACAGCAGCCAAGTCCAAGATACGATATGCAACCGCCGTTTTTTTTACTTTGTGTACAAAAGAAATGGGGGATAATGGTGTTCAGATGTCTGCCAGAGGTGAGTTGAGGCATGCTTGACATCAGCTGTGCCTGTGTTTATAGATAGCCAGATCAGTGGTTAGCTGTAACCCAGTCATTGTGCATCAGGTGTGCAAGTTGGTGGAGTAACTGCCAATGATTAGCCTATGGGAGGTAGTCCCACTGGACTGCGCCACTGTTGGATCCTATGGAGGCTGGGAGACTGAGTCCTTTCAGCCTTGGGGATAGTTGGCCCGATGGACCTTGTTAAAATCTTCAGAGAAGTCGCCTTGACAGATGATGCAAAAATGATGCGTCTGGCAGTGGCAGCGTTTCTAGCCAAAATATCCAGGAGGGCCAGTGCCGAGGGAAACTTTCTGTCCATTTCTTTGAAGAATAGACATTGTGGTATCACAGTTATTAGTCTGCATTCTTATTGATATCCTGAATGCATTTTGGAACATCCAAGTAATAGTGAAAAACTACACTTTGTTTACATCTTCCATTGTACACCCAAAACAGCTCCTTCAGATATGAAGCAGCTTTTAATTGCAAAGCCAATCTCTGCCAGTCTGAGAATCCCACATTCTAGAAAGCTCTGGCAGGATCTCAAGTAATCTCATGTAACTTGCCTGAACAGCAGCAGTGTTGATAGTGGCAACAGTTGGAACCTGTATTCAAATTCTCTGGATATATCTGTATGCTCTGAAAATCATCTGAAATGAGGATAAACTTGTCTCCTGCGATTTTTTTCTGCCTTTTCCCTTTCATTTTTGTATGCAAATTTATTTTTCTCAAAGCATTTAACTTCCACAATATAAGTTTTTGGAGGTAGAATGATATAACTGTGCAAATTTACTTATGCAAGAAGGTCTTAGAAAATCTTGATTTGCACCCACCCGCAGGCATGTACATATTTTTCACATACGTTGTATATTTAGTGACAGGTGTAACTATTTACTCCATCACTAGTGTTGAAGAGTGCAGGGTAATATGCAATGACTGGATGACCCATATTTGGGTGAAGCATGCTTGTTACCGTATTTTGTGGTTGCTGTTTCATGTATGGTTTGAATTTCATGGGAACTCTCAAATTTCTGTGATATGGTTATTCATGGCTATGAATGTACATACGAAGCTTAATTCTAATTGTGAATAAAGTTTCATATGAGAGATACAGAAAAAGTGTGGAATTGAGTATTCTTTGGAGTTGGAGTTTATCTCGGGAGAGTATTTTCAAATGAAATGAAATCAACTTACTTATCATTGTGTGTGTACTCAGGAGTTGCATATTTCTACTGTGGAGGGAATGTCAAAAGGAAGAATGAAAGCAGTGAGCGGAACTGGAATATTTAGTTTGCTGTTGGTTTTGTGAGAGTTTTAATGTGGACAAAAATGCACCTTGGAGGCATAATTTTATGACCCTTTTTCGTTGGAAGATATATGGTTTATTTGCATCAAGTCATTGGATCACCATGGGGCTACAAAACACGATTAGCAATCAAAGCTTTAATTCAATGTATCTCAAAGATCTTGGACAGTTGTAAAATATTTGTACAAATTTGATGTTACATGCATTTTGTTTTTGTGGGTGAGGGCATTTTAGTCGCCTTTGATAGTTGTTGCTGTTTGTCAAACTGTAGAGGGCGGCAAATTTACATGAAATAATGTGGAACACTTGGGGGCGGCAAACATCTATCTATCAAAACAAACTAGGTGAGTCGAGTGACGACGAACGTCGTCGTATCAGGTACGGTGCAGACAGACAAACTACTTGAACTAACGTCAGGCCCACTCATGTCCGTAGAACTTGTACTGATTTTGTACTAGGCCAAATTGTGTAAGTTGTCTTGCTTTTTTGGGTGGGGGGACGAAGAAACAAGCAAGTTTTTCAAATTTGTTTGTTTCGACTGAAGTCTTTGATATGAAAACCAGCAGTTGGTGTGTGAATAGACTATTAGCCCCATTGGCGCTAGCGTGGCACGGACTCTTGCTACCGTTCACCTTAGTCACATCCATGTATGCAATTTGCGTGTCGGCGTAGTGAAAATGTTCGGCTCACCCTCTTAGTTATAATCATCTAGATCATCTAGATCATGTGCGTAAAAATGATTTTAAGTTGCATTGGCATAATTTGCTCTGTGAAAATACTGGGCTTGTGTTACCCTGAAAGTCTCATTGGGTTGGTGCATAGCGTGCATAGGGTGTCAAAAGATGTCAGTGTATGGACAGGATGGAAGTCTCCTTTAATACGTGCTTTTCACAATAGTGCACCTCAAAGGGTTTGCAACGCGCTGGCCAATTACAACGCCCGAAATCTGTCGACCCCTTCCAAATGCGCATTGGTTGACAGATTTTGTGCATTGTGATTGGCCAACACGTTGCAAACTCTTGGAGGCGCATTTCTCTGAACTTGAGTTCAAAGCCTGGTGTTGCACATGTATACAAGTATAACTTCAGAACTGTAAGGTTTTCAGATACACCTATTGCAGCATAGGAAAGTTGTGGCCATTTCGATTGTAAGGAGTCTAAGGTTTTTATCTATTATAAATTTTCGTGCCCTAAAATTTCATACACCCTTTCTTGATATGGATAGATGTACTTTACATGTGGAGATGAGGGGCTTCATTTATCTTAAATGTATCGATATATAAATCTAATTAAAATTGTGAGGAAAGACTGACTAGCACGGAAGCAGAACTTACTAACTTTGATGGGGCATCATCTTCAGCAGTATGACAGTTTGACCAATGACAGCGCTGCTCCTGTCTTTCTCTTTTTGTCCCTCTCACCCTTAAATGAAAACTTAACTGTAATTGGTCACTGGCATAGAGAAGAGATTGGACTAATTGCAGCTGTCATTTTAGGGCAAAAGGGACAGAAAAAGGTACCGTTAGGAGCCACACTGTAATTGGTCAAGCTGTCATAATGCTGAGAATGATGACCTTTCAATGAACATGTACTCAGAGCGAGTACGGCTGTTGAGCACAATCTTTGAAAGTGCAAATTTCAAATTTGTGCGTGAAATTTTAAAATTCTGCACAACACAAAATTGTTGACAGCGATAAAATTGCGAGTTACATAAATCACAGGCAACAATAAGAGACTGACAACAACTACATGTACATGTTTTGCATGGATTTAAGCTTCATATCTATTGTTGGTAACATGTCAGACAAAATTTTACCCGTTAGTTTCAAGCTTTTTGATGAATAGGCTTACATGTATTGCCTCTTGAGAGCTATTAAATTCCCCCGTTGACAATTTAATTCAGACTTAACTTCCCTCTAAAAAAATTCCTAGAGCCAATAATCAGAAAAAAAAGAATTTGCAATAAAAGTTATATCCAGCACAATATGTGGCAAAGGGGGACCCCCCAATGTGATGCACAAACTACAGTATATACATGTACCCTAAAGCTATTGGGCCTACTGCACTCGCTCGAAATCTGAAAGGAGTTCCAAAGATTCCGTCAAAACAAAAGAAGACACAATAGAGGGGGGGTCCCCTTTGCCACATATTGTGCATCAAATGATAAAAGTAGCATCTCCCGACAAAACAATTAACAATCAGGGAAAACAAGGATTTTGAAATTACTCTGAAAGTACTACTGTACATCATGTACATGTACATTTATGAACATGTAGTTTGTTCTGGACTTCTAGCCTTTACTCGAGGCAACAGCGAGCATGTTTCCCAGCTTGACTGGTGCCCATCCCAGCAATTGAGAGAGCTGGAGACTTCTGAGGAATGGGAACCAGTCTACATGTCTATAAATTTATCCCAGCATCCCCACCCGCCGGCGAAGGCTAACCATCATGACTCCCTTTAAGAATCGCACAGTTCCAGGCACAAAGATTTGTGCAAATTCAAAGATTAGGCTCAATGCTAGCTGTGCAGATTTGTGCAACCTAATGAATATTGCGCAAGGAAAATGGCACAAGTTGTGCAAATTTAATATGGAGCACTTTTAAAGATTTGCACCGAGCACCGCTAGTCAGTCTTCCATAGTGTGGGCTAACAGAATTCATAAAATTCTCATAGCTTTCCCCATTTTAATTAGATACATGTACACGTATTTGGTAAATAAAGCTCTACCCAGTCAACATGTACATGTACAATACATGGAACTGTATCAAAAATGGATCCCGTAAGAAATCTCAGGGCGTAACTATTTGTGAGCGCAGAGTACATGTAAGTCTTTACAATCAAAAAAGCCCAAACTTTCCTATTGCACTTTGTAAGGTTTGTAATTTAACCTTACAATTCTGGAAGTACACTGTAGGTGCCAAGATGATCATACATACATGTACAGTGTACATGTATGTACATGTAGCTTACTGAAGATTGCCAGCTGTAGAACTGAATATGTACTCGTCATGTTTGTATCTCTCCTTTGTGACAGCAGAGACTTTAGTGATGGTGGCATTGGTGATCGTGTACTGTAGTGGTTAGGTGATACCAGCAACCATGGATCACAAGCACATACTGAGTCTTGTCTTCATACTCGTCTTCCATGTACATGTCATATTTAAAATAGTCGTTGCACCGGCGGCAGCCACAAAAGATGATCAAGGTACGTACATGTACACCTTTCCTTGTCTGATCTTGTAGTGTTGAGCCATTGTCCCAATGATGTATGTACAGTTTGCACACTTGCTTGTTTAAAAGACTGAAATCGTATACATGTATATCCTAATATACCGGTTCAAGTGTACAATATACATGTATGTATTGGTCACAATTGGCCAATCTAAACGATTGCCTGGACATTCTGTGCAGTTGGTCGATCTTCTCTAACTTCATTTCTCCCTTTTTTGAAACAATCTTCAACTGAAAGTTAGAAAGAAAAATCGATTGGACAGTGGCAGAATTATTGACAAATTATGCAAGAAGATCAACTGGTCCTGCAAAGATCAAGCGATCGTACAGACCAACTGAGTGCTCCCAGCTTATACTGTATGCACATGGCTTTCTTTAACTGTGAAGCTGTTGTTAGTTTTCAGTTGGCATTTTTACTGATGATAATATGCCTCTTGACAAGCTACCTTCCCTCGTAGGCCCTTTTGGCAACAATGCATCTTCAGTCCCTCATTAAATCGGATACATGGCCTCATTCCATTATTTCTTGATTGCGTTCCTTGGTGGGGTGACCACTGCCTTAATCCTTCAAAATCCCCTGATTGTGTGTTTGGGGAAATGCTGTCATTGAGCAGTGTGGATGTTACCACAATCTGGACCTGAATTCGTACATGTATGTGGCCGAGTGTAAATAACACAAGGCCTTACCCGAGACCTTGACATAATACAGCCATTCACAATCAGCCACACATTTTTGTCATTCAATCTCAATTCCCCATTAATCAAAATTCTCTAAAACTGCCCAAAAAATGTTTGGAGATTGAGCAAGTTTGTTCCTCTGTACAATTCTGATTGTACAATGTACCTTGAAGTAGATTTTTGTGATTTTTGTTTGCATTTAAGAAATATCTCTCATTATGAACCTGGAAAATGTTTTTATCTCTGTTTATTAAACGACATGTAGAAATGTTTCCAGAGTAAGATACTTTATACCGCTTTGACTTTCATGCGAACAGCATTTGATTTGCATAAATTTTGAACGAACCAATTTCTGTTGCTACAAGATCTGTCTTATGAGGAATTTCTGGTTCAATGTAAAATCAATAAACATCAAATGAATGTGCGTGTACTGATTAATTTATAATGGTCAAGATATACTGTCCATGTACATTTATGAACTATGACAAAGACAAACAAAAATTGACAAGTTAGGTTCTTCATGAACGCCAGCAGCACCAGGAACATTGCTCCCCAATTTTGAAGATCAAAGTTCTACATGTACGTGTGGTTGCCCAAACTACAGAGTCCATTGCTTGATGAATGGGGCAGGTCTCAGTGGGCAATTTTGCTGTCAAACCAATTCGCGTCTCAGAGCATCCACGGTAACATTTCACGAGACACGTTTCGCTAATGGAACCACTGGGAAACTACTTGTATCCTGTCGGAAAGGCATAATTCACTGTACTTGCCTCTCTTTTCATCACGCGCATTTTATGAAGCTGCAAGGCAAAGTTTGTTGTGTACATGTAGTTTGGTTGATTGAAGACTGGGTGCCATATTCTTTGCTCTCCTTAAGTGATGTGCCTGTTGATTGGAGTTTTGGGGGAATCATATTAAATTCTTCAAGCATTGTATGAGCATAGTATGAGCCATTTTGTTTGCAGGATTTTACCGTTCCTACATTTCCTCTGATGTCACAGGTCTGGCCAGGCAAGCCCCCGAAGCAACTGACCAAAAAATGGCGTCCATCCCCGAGCAGATTCACATAGCTCTGGGGGACAACACGTCAGAGATGGTTGTCCTGTGGTCCACGCACGACCAGTCATCATCGGTGGTTCAGTATGGTCTGTCGCCGGATGACTTGAATCTGAAGGCCAGTGGCGATTACGTGGAGTTCAACTGGCTTGATGGGAATGCAGAGGGTTTGCAGTTCATTCATAGAGTCAAGCTCACAGTAAGCCTCACCCTTCTTTCTAAACATTTCAGTAAGACCCATGACCATTCACGGAGGCATTGATGGCAGCCAGTGCCACTCAGAAGTTATTGTGATGCAAAATAAGAGCCTTGTTTGAAGCTTTCCACCATGACACTGAACCCAGTTGTTGTTCAAATTATGAATTATGGATTCATCTCCCTTGTCATGCAGCTCCACTGTATACTGCAGAAACAATCCTTCTAATTATGTTAATATGGAGCCAAGGTTTGGACAGTTTCTTGAAGTTTAAAAATTTGAATCTGATTTTTTAATTAGTCAATGACAGGGGCAATGCCGAGACATGCAAACAAAGTTGTATGGCAGGGGCCACTTTACAACGTTACTCAATTAATTTTTTTTTTGGTCGCATAAGACTGCTCCTGTGCTTGGGTTTAGTATCAGTAATTTCCCTCCAGGCTAGTATTAGATGGTGTAAATAATAGACTTCGTGTCCAAGTCCATCCTTCCAGTGGGGCAATGTGATCCTACCCTCACTAACAGACCAGCAGTCAGAGAGGACATTGGCAACACTCTTTCTCTTCCTTTTCTCAGACCTGCCAACCTTGCCGTACTCCTTCCTGAGGTCAGGCATTACCACACAATAGATTAAAAGGTATTAAAATGAGCCTTCAGTTCATTCAAAATTTTAATCTATTGTTTGCAGTGCCTGACCTGAAGAGGCAGTACGGCATGTTGACAGGTGTGTTTTCTGTGGATTTTAGAAGTCTGCCTTAGTTTGCGTGGTCCGTTATGGAACTTGGTGAGTTAAATAAATCTCTCTTTTTTGGGCTACTTAATCTAGAACTGTAGGGAGAAGATGGTTTAAAACTGAATTACTGAGTTTGATATTGTTAACATTAATACACAAGATGAGACTTTGATCGGTAAAATTTAATGGAGGTACGGAATCAGGCAGGGCCTCAGTATAAAATATGATTTTTTATAGGTATCTAACAAGATTGATACATGTAGTTCAATCAATTGATGGTTCAATAGGATTGAGCATTGTTTAAGACTGTACTGATCACTTTTTGTGGAACAGGTTTTATGCACTGGATAGTTCTTTAGGAGTAACATTTGGATAAGAAGTGAAAGGTTAGATGTGAAAAGTCTCTTGTGCATTTTTTTTTATGATGAGATGGAATTTGACTGACTTCTGGAGTTCCTTAGTTACTTAGAAATATTGGAGATTTTGCATTTAGGACTGATATTATGAGAACCTTGTGTTGATTAATGACAGAAGAAACACTTGAAGATTCTTGTGTCAGCACCAATTTTTAAGAAGTGTGGCTTTCCTACTGATACTAGGGCACCAAATTCCTTTCCAAGTAGATCACTTTCTAAGTACACTGTAGATCACATCATTAGTGTATTAGACTTGGTTAGATCCTGAGGTTTCGTAACATTCTATATGAATGAGGGACGTCCGCTCACAGTGACCACCTGTTTCATAGTCACTTTGCTGGGTGTAAGTCTAACTTGGAGTTACGAGGAATTGTCAGTGGCACTGTGAAGGATTGCATAAACACCAGTCAGTGTAGATAACAAGTGGGCTACATGTTTACAATATCTAATAAAAATAATAATGATTTATTCATTTATAAAGTGCACATTTCATATACATGTACATGTAGGTGTATGTTCTAATGCGCTGTACAATGAAGACATTAAACGTGGAACAGTGAATACATTTAAACATGGTTGAGTCGATGGCATACAAGGGCGCATCGGGCAGCCGCCAAACAACCCATAATTCACCAATATCAGTAAAGGGGAGACAGTAAGAAGCAGTTACAGTTTTAGAAGTGGGAGGAAAACCCCAGAGGAATATTCTGGGTAAAGCCACAGAGTCAGGTAGGGACTGAAAATCCAATCCACATGTGGACCGGGCCGGGAATCGAACCCGGGACCACAGAGGTGGAAGACGAGGAAAGAAGTACATGTACCTTGCCAACCTGACTCCCCTCTCAGACTTACACTTACAGTAGTCACTGAAGCATGTGGGACGCATCCAAATTCTAAAGGCTGAAACTGTGCATATAATGGCAAGGTTTATACTGTACCTGTATACAGGGATGTTCACTGTTTAGTCACTTGCAACTCTTATCTTCTTAGTTGTAGTAGCCTGTGTGGCTAACACCATCTACAGATGAAGCAGCTGGCCAGTTTACATGTATATGTATCTTAGGTTTTATACCTGGGCACATTAGGTATTCATCAGAAAGTGCATTGTCCTTGGACTGTTGGCTTTTCATACGAAAACCTGTTGTTTAACTTACTTGATTTTGCTCCTCTTGGTGAATTGATTCACACCAAAGACTTAGATTTTAGATACATATTGACTTTTTTGGAACCCTAACCCACTAGGGCCTTTTTACTAAGGCACATCCTCAATCCTCCAAAATCCTCCAATTGCCCAACTTCAAAAACTGCATTCAACCTCAATCCTCCAAAATCCTCCATTTTCTGGGCTTATGCACAAAATGATATGTACCTGAATCCTCAATCCTCCAAAATCCTCCAGTTTCTGGGCTTATGCATAAAATGAAAGGTACCTGAATCTTCAATCCTCCAAAATCTTCCATGGCCCTACTTTGGGTTGTTTTTTTTGGGGGGGGGGGTTGGGGAGGGGAGGGTGGGCACATCAGGTTGGTTGCTGGGTTGAAGCTGGGTTTTTTTGCAGAGTTAGCTAATGGCTTTACTTTTGTAATAACAAAGCAGACATGTACCTTTGTTTTAACACACTGCAGTTGAGGATTGTGGCATTTATGACCAGCAGCAGTGAACAATGGTACACACTGTCCTTGGGTACATGTACATGTATATTGTAAACAGTGTAATGTTTGACCATATCCACCACTGTGTGACAGATTTTTAGTCCTTCATTCATCATTCATCCTCAATCCTCCAAAATCAGCCAGCTTTTAAATCAGCATTCATCCTCAATCCTCCCAAATCCTCCAATGTTCAAATCATTGATGCTCAATCCTCCAAAATCCTCCAAAACCACCCGGAGGATTTTAAATTAAGAAGAACTTGCATAGAAAAAGTATTAGAGATTGATTTCATGTGTCACATGTATGCATTGATTGTCAACTTTTCTTTGTTTTGTTCTTTTCTATAGGTAGTCGACACTTGACTGTAATGTTTTTGTGACTTATTTCGAATACTGTGTTGGGTTTGGGGGGTTTTTTTGGTGGGTTTTTTTTCTGATGGTTTTCTTTTTTTGTCTTGGGTTTTGGTTTACTTGTTCTTGGATTTTGTCGGTTAATATTTAAGGTTTAGTTTTAGCTTTGGTTTCCTTTTCTCTTGGTTTGGTTCAGATGGTCTTGATTTGAAGTTTTTTATTTAGAGTCAGGCTAAGGTTTAGTGTCAAAGGATTGGTGTGTGGCATCTTTTCTTTCCTTTTCTTATTTTGGTTAACGGTTTACACATTCTGTTTTATTCTTTGTGGAAACAAATATCCATGTTGTACATGTAAGTTATTTATTTTAGAAGTTCAGCCTACCTCTGCCTTCCAATAATCCTTCCAATAATTTCTTCTTACGTGTTCTAGAGTGGAATAAATTTTAGTTTGGTGTTATTTAATTGTATGATTCCCTACTTATGTCCATTTTACAGTTACGTGTGCATGTATCCTGTGCCACCAGAAACGATTGTCCCTGGGTCACAGATTAAACAAAACATGTCAAATGAGAGCCCCAAAGGAACAACCTATTGTTCGTATTCTCAGATAGGGCAGTAGGTATGGTACAAAGGAATGCAGTTCACGCCACTTGCAATTGCTCGTCCACGCTTCAACTGAGCCACCAGATTGCCGCTAACTGCAGCCTGATGCAAATCCCAATGCTGTGACTGCCCAGACCATGTGCTTGTCACTTGCACGAGTGACCACACCTTGGTTCAAACTACAGTCCTCTTGTCAGTGTCTGCTGCGTGGAGGAACAAGAGATGGTGTGGTTTTTACATCGCAACCATGCCCCCTCAATGTGACCGCACTGCGTGCATGCACGCACAGGTTCATGCGTGTTAGATGCGAGCCACATGAAGAGACGATCTTTGCTTACAAACGGTTGCGTGCTTGAGCCCGGTTAAAATATTCCCTCCAACCTACATGTATCTCTTCTTTGCCAACGAGGAGATGCTTCTAGTCATAGCTGATTTACTGTCATAGTTGTCAGATTTCCAGCATGAGGGTAGTGAGTCTTGTGTCCATTGTCTCTGATGAGGCTGTCTCTGTTTTCAGTGATGTTGCTTATTATTTTCCTCTCAGAATCTGTTGCCAGCTACAAACTACTCTTACAGGGTGCATAGTGATGGCCAGGAAAGTTCAACATTCACGTTTGCGACACTGCCAGACACAACGGTAAGCACTAATTTTCACTGTGAAAACCTTGGTCAAGAAACGAATCCTGAAACTGAATCATTGGATGGAACCCTTTTTAAATTGAAATTGTTCTGAAAAGTGCACATTTTGTACTTCACACAGCATTGATCTCTCCTGATTACTGGCAGAACTTCTCTGTAGGGAAGTCAGTGTGCACTTTAGGTAATGATTGTAAACATTTTTTTTGGACATCTTGAAAAGTATTGTGTTTGTTGAAAGGGTTTAGAAAAGGCCTTGGACTTATGGTTTCACTCACTCTGAGGCACTGTTAAAGGATCCATGAAATGAATTTTTCTTAGAATCACTTTTTGTGTATCTCTGTACTCTTCTTCCATGTATGGAGACTGTTTGACTTTTTTTTTTGAGTTACGTGAACTGAACGATGCGCTTTTTCAAACATTAAAAATTGACCAAGCATTTCTGGACAAGTGAGGGCACTTTTGCTTTGATGTAAATCCAGGAAGACATGGTTCAGGTTGCATGTTTTCATGTTCAAATTGTGAACCCCAAATTTGCTATCTGGGAGCATTTCTGTGCAAAGGATTTTTGCTGGATTATTGTCATATACTTACACAGCAATAAATTGCCAAAGAAAATGAAATCTGCCATAGCAGTGCAACATTGAGATAGTTCTACTCATGAATATGCAAAAATGCATTTGCATAAACCAAAAAGCATCAAAATATGGTTAAAATTGCAAAACAAAAATATAAAATTACATGTAGGTTAATTGAAACCCAAAGATGCAATTTCAAGAGTTTTAGTAACATTTATAAAAAGATTCCTATTTCCTGGTTCCTTTAAGGTCCTTCCTGCCAGTGTTCTCTTGTTGCATGTTCCACAAATTCTAACTTCACAAAAAATGTCTCTCAAATTCCCTGGAGAGTCTGATCACCAAGACATCAAAATTCATGCACCACATGATCACAGAGTTCCCTAAGATCGGCCACCATGGCAGTTGGCAAGTGTTCAGTCAGCAACCATGCATCATGTGTTGTAAGCTACATGTAGACAGCGAGACTTAATTTTGCTTAATGGTAATTTCTTTATTACGTGGCATAATTGTCACCACCAGTGTTGTGTATGGTTGTTATGCCGATTGAGCAAGGGTCACAGTCAGGAAACCTTGGAAACTTCATCTTTTCTCAATTCTTTGAAGGTTTCCTTAATACTTGAATACCATGCACAGCATTACGGTCCTTGCCTACAACAATGGTGGATGTTAGCCAGGTCACATGAGTCATTGAGAATGCTTTATAGGCACATGGCAATACATACATCAAGTCTTTGGAGCTGTCTCTGCTCTCTCTTGATACATCATTCTCTATGTGTTGCATATCCAACTGCAGAACTGGTCACCGACACTGCTGATATTTGGAGACATGGGCTACGTTGGTGGGGCACCGAGCTTGCGCCTCCTAAACCAGGCGGCGACTAAAAGAAGCGCGGATGTGATCATCCATGTTGGAGACTTTGCTTACGACTTCCACAATGAGGGGGGGAAGGTAGGGTGTAGTGAGACTCTGTCCTCGGCACTGTTGTAGTTGAGTCCACCATTCCCAGTCCAAGTCTTACTGATTTTAGTTAGAGTCTGAGTTCCAAAATCCGAGTCTCAGTCTTTCAAGAAATGAAATGTTCTCATACTCTAAAAAATGACATCTTGGACAAATTGTGTGAATTGGATGTGCACTGGGTGCACACAAGGTAGATATTTGGTCCTATTTATGATCAGTAACACTGGAAAAGAATGATGCCGTGGGAAATCTTGCATAAATCTTGAACAAATGACCGCTAACGGTTGGCATTTGTAATGCCCAACCTTATATGAGTCCTGGTGTTGGTATCTTGTGAGTTTAAAGAGTTGGTACACTGAGCCGGAGAAACTACTGCACCTGGGGCTAGTGCAGTTTCAAAAAATATCATCAGTGAGTGGTTAAGACATAATCAAGAAGAATAGAATTCTCAGTCTAGAAATAATGTCTTCCATTTTATACACTCAAGATGTGCAAAGGGGTAAAAACCCTGTAATGAGAAACTAAAAAATGACTCCCTGACGAGGCTTTGTTTTTGAACCAAGTCATTATAACTGTCCGCTGCATTGGTTTGTGACTTTCTCTTTTTTTTTCCAAAGAAAAGCAACAAATCTTTACTCAGTAGTAACTGTTTGTTGTTCACAAAGTGAATGCAGACTCAAATTCGGTACATATTCCAGACATCTACAAGGCTAACATACTCACGGGATGAACTATGCAGGTCCATAGCCTTTTTTCTTGAAAAAGAGCATTACATGTAATGGTTGTACATGTTCTTATTTTCTATCCAGGTTGGGGATGCATTTATGAATAGAATTCAGCACGTAGCCTCCACAATTCCTTATATGACCTGCCCTGGTAATCATGGTAAGTAGAATCATAGAGATTGTTAGAAACAAAACTGTTTCTAGCAAAGACCTACTCTAACTATAAGGAGGTGTATGTCTAATTTTGATTTCAGTTTTTATTAATAGAAAGCCTCTTCATATACATGTAGGGCTGGATGGATACGGCAACAGAGAGCTAGTACAGTGTGGTAGAGATTATAGACTCAAATCTGGTATGAAAATTTAGGACTGTCTTTACTGTGTCTGACAGTCCCAAAATGTAAGATACCTATTCGTAAAAACTGCGACACGGGAAAGCAATTCAACACTTTGGTTCAAATCCCAGCTACACCGTCCATTTCATTCCAACTTTTACATGTTAGCAGCGGCATGTCCACTGGGGATGGGGAAAGGGAACGTTCCACAGCCCACCCTTGGGGACTCGTTGCAGCTGTTTGGTTGTTGAAGGATTTCAGAGCATCAACACTTCAGCAATGGTGAAGTTTGGAAGAAAAAGGGTTCTGTTGCAGTCGAATACGAACTTGGACAAAACTTTCAGAAAAAAATCCCCTTCCCCTTGACTCCAAACTCGGCATGCGTGTTTGTCCATAACTTGTCGTGCTTGTCAGAATTAAGGGTTAAATGCCATTTTGGCCTACAACAGGTTAACATGGCCCTTCTGTCTTCCGCAGAGATTCCTCACGGCTTTAGTCACTACCGCTATCGTTTCGCCATGCCCTCTCTACCCTGGCCAATGCCCGAGGACAAAATGTGGTACAGCTTCAACATTGCCAGAGCACACTTTGTCAGGTAAAAATGTGATTTGATCTGCGAAAACCCTTCTCATGGTGAGCTTTGCCATTTTGGTGCATGTCAACTTCAAACTGAGCTGGACACTACCCTGTTTTCAAAACTGTTTAATTCGTTATTCTAGACAAGCTAGATTCATTTTCTAGCCAACCTAGGATCATATCTCAAAACAAGAGTGTGACCATGTTTATTTGAAGTCTATATATGCCCAAATGATAAAGCTCACCATGTGAAGAGTTTTTGCAGATCACATCACACATACATGTGTCTAATTCGTTATTCTAGACAACCTAGATTCATTTTGTAGCCAACCTAGAATCATATCTCAAAACAAGAGTGTAGTATTTAGGCCAGTGCCATATACATGTATACATGTATGACTATTTGATTGAATATCAAATATTCAGACATTTACTTTTTCAGTTGGAATAGTTGTAGGTATAATGTAGAAAGGGCAAAACTCCCTTTCTTTGTAACCAAATTGCCTTCTTAGATCTTAGATCTTAATCCAAAAAAAGAAAATAATACTGGTAGTTCTGCTCCTGGTTACCTAATCCTGAGTTATTGTAATGAATTACAGCCTGGTATTTTGTACGGTATCGGTAACATTCCTCTTCTGGAAGCTTGGCTGCATAAAAATTTGCTCTACAGCTAAAAATATTCAACTGTTTGATCAAATTTCAGAATGTACCGGTATATTCGAATAATTAGGTTCTTGATACGACTCAACCGTAACAGTTTTGCATTCATAATGCATTTCCTGTTTGATCTTGTTTTAAGTGATCTGCCTCAGAAGTGGTTGATTGAAACCTTGACAACAAACCAGCAGCTACATGTAACAGAGTCCCAACTGAGTGTGCGATCTTTTTGGACTTTTTAAACACAGCTACATTGTTGTACTTGCTATTTCCTATTTCGTGTAGCAGGCTTCACACTTTGGGGTTGTATGTAACCCAAACTGTCCTGCCTTTGAATAGAAAGGGTTTTTCCTGCAGTTACCAGGTATTCAACTGTCCCAAAATTTCCAAACATTCCACATCTTGGTTCTCAAAAGTGTGATTTACCATGTAAAGACTTTTTTTCCATTGCAGGAAGAAAGGGGGTTATGGCCCCCAGTGTTGCCGTATTAAAACAGAAACAATTTTGAAGGCTGGAGTTTCTGAAAAATGTATTCACTTGTCTTAATGCCCTCCCCCCCCAACAAAATGGGACCCCGAAGGTAGTTTATATCTGAGAAGAAATTTTAGCTTGATTGTATCCCCCAAACTGCCTGGCCCTTGAAAAGTGATTCATCAGTACCCCTAGTTGATCATTCCCAAGACCTTATTCCTTACCCTAAAATTGACAATAAACTAAAAAAAACCCAAGGCCTCAAGGCCTCATGTATATTCTATACATGTATATTCTATATATTCTATATTGGGGTGGCAGTTATTCTTCAGAGGTTTACTTCACTGACGGCCCTGTAGCCGAGCAATATGATTGGCTGCTGAAGGACCTAGAGGAGGCCAATAAGCCGGAGAATCGCCAGCAACGACCCTGGATTATAGTGTTTGGCCATCGACCCATGTATTGCTCCAACAGCAACAACGACGACTGTACTCACAAAGGCAGCAGGGTCAAAGATGGGTAAGCCCTGCTGATGTCAGGTTGGAAGAACAAGATGCTAGATTTTGCCTTTCACTGGTGTAATTTAGTAAGGAAACAAATATGTGCTTGGCTGGTCTAAACGGTTGTTTAAGACTGGATCAGTAGAATGGATACTGATAATGTCCAAGCTGAAGGTGAAGTACATTATCAGCATCAGTCAGTCATAAATGTTCATATTTATTCCCGTTCGTAAATACCTTTGAGTCACAAATTCAAGCAAGGTCTGAAAATTACAAATCTTCCAAGAGTTTACTTCAGTTTTCTCAAACCCCGCTTTAGCCATGTTATGGTATGTTCCCTTCATGGGTAGAGCGTAGGCAATCTCCTGATGTGGAGATTGGTGCAGACATGGTGCGTACTGCATGATGTGGCGCGCTGTAGCCGGTGTGAGACCGTTAGCATTGGTTTGCATTGATAGTGGTTTAATGCACTCGTGTCGTGGCCCACAGTCCAAAACACAAGAATGTTCTCCCAGGGGATTTAAATTTTGCAGCTCGTCTTCCACAGTTCCTTCATGTAAACCGTATTGTTCTGCAGGTTGGAGGAGCTCTTCTTCTCCCAGGGGGTGGATGTCATCGTCCAAGGCCACGAGCACTCCTATGAGCGACTCTGGCCTGTTTACAAGGAGCAGGTGTATGCCGAGAACTATACCAATCCCAAGGCACCTGTACACATCATCGGTGGGGCAGCAGGTTGCAATGACTGGTATGGCTCCTGTTTAGACCCCATTCTCTATCCAAGGGGTAAGTGTTTACAGCACCATGGACCTGTTCCCTAGTTCAGCATTTCTTCCCAGAATGTGTTAAACCCTTGACGACGGGAGTTTTTTCTGAGAGCCGAGTCCGAGAATTCCAGCCTCGCTTGGCCACGAAGGCCACCTGCCAAACCACAAATTCTCAGTTTCAGGCCCTGCGTGCTCTGCACGCTTTGAATTACACGGTGAAAAGGCTGATTGTTAGGTGTCATGTGGCTCTACTCACCCTTCCACATTCCCATTGCCTCTTTTCAAAGTGGGAACTATTGTGAAGCAGGTGACTGTGATGCAAAATCGGTCTTTTCTTTTCTGGGCTACGCATAAGACCAATTACCATATATACAAGAGCCAGAGTCTGCCTTCTTTCCCCGTGTTTGCTCGAGCGTGGGCCGAGAATAATAGCTGAAAAGCGGGCTGAGGATCTCAATTTTTACAGCGACTATAACCGCCTCCCAGCACGAAGGGGTTAACAACTGTTCACAGAGATGAATGTTGTTACATGTTGTTGTTTGAGTCTGTTGGTATTCCCCTATGACAGTCCACTCCGAAAACAAAACCAGTGGGTTTGCCAGATTAAACTGATCAATGAAACCAAGTGTTTGTCTCGAGAACACTGCAGCCTCAGAGATGTGACTTGCATTTTCTGATTTGGTGTCACTGTGACTCCCAATCAGGGATAAAGGCTGTATACAAGGAATGCTGACCTAGACTGAAGTCTAGGGGATACTTTGCAGAGCAGCCATAGCAAGTGCTTGAATACATTTTATTGAAGTGTTTGATGTGATCCGATATTGACCAACAGAATAAGTGGAAGAGCCAGTGAATATTAGGTTAATTTCCCTTGATTTTACAGGTCCGTGGTCGGCCTTCCGGTCCTGGCTTCCAGGACTGTACGGCATTGGTAAACTGATAATCCACAATGCCACCCACATCCAGTGGCAACAACTGCTAGCAATCAACGGTCAAGTCATGGATGATGTCTGGATTGAGCAGCACCATCACGGCAAATTCACCACCCAATGATATCCCTTCGCCCATTAAGTGCTTATCCTTTCAGCAATTCCTACCTCCTCCCTGATATCCCCTCCCAGATGGTTACTCTCCGATGGCCAGTCCCTAAAATGGTTTCCCAGAGATGGCTATCCCCCAAGACGGTTATCCCCAAAGATGGCTATCCCCCGCCTCGAGTTGCACCCTCACCAGCAAAGAAGAGACATGCTGGTGGGAATATTCAATCAGTCTTGTGCATGTGCCCTGCACACGAAGACAGTCCATTCGAACAGAAATTCCTCCTGCGTGTTAAGCACATCCTCTCCCAAACTTGCATGAACATGCAGGCGCATGCAGTGAGTTTTCACCAGAGGGCCGTTTTCTCTATGCAAAAACACGCCCTACATTGTTCGGAACGGATTCACAACCAGGTAGCTATCCCCCGGGGTAGCTATCCTGTGATTTCTAACACCTGTGATGGCTGTCCCCAAACTAGCTGTCCCATAGATGTCTCTCTCCCAAGATGGTTGCCCTCCAAAATTGCTATCCCCAAGATAGCTTTCACCTCAGATATCTGTGAAGATGGCTTTTGTCGAAGATGGCTATCCCCCGAGACGGTTGTTCCCCAAATGGTATTCCCAAAATAAAATGAAAGGGTCTGGTTGCTGATAACAGCCCTTGCTTTTGGCTTGAGCCATCATCAGGAACCAGACCACAAGCCGATATTGAACCACCCATTTAGTAATTGTTCCACCACACTATTATTGCCTAATTAATATTTAGTATTGTCATACCTGTGTCTTGGATACTGTCTATTCATTGGCCCAGAACGACATCATGACAGGGCGACATATCTGCTATCACACTCACTGTGAGACATCTCTCTGCCAAGAGCATATGCAGGCGCATGAGACATGATTTTCAGGAAGTTCGCGAGCGACCTTGTCACTCATTAATTTAGTCAGTTTTGTGTGGTACCCATTATACCTTCTAGGCATAAGTCACCAGGGAATTTGATCAATGGTCGCGCTCGTATAACAGACTCGTTCCCATCCCCACAGTGTATATAAACCACTACCAGCCGGGGACTCCGAAATCGGAGCCGTATGGTTTATATGTGTGACCGGGGTCTCCGAACTCGGACAAAGGAAACAGGGCCCTATAACAAAAGACCGTACTCCGAACAAAAGACCAGGCTGCTGGGCATTACCGGCATTTTTCACTCTCAAAAGTAGTGATAATTCAGCGNAAACAGAAATTCCTCCTGCGTGTTCGGCACATCCTCTGCCAAACTTGCATGAACATGCTGGCGCATGCATTGAGTTTTCACCAGAGGGCCGTTGTTTCTATGCAAAAACACGCCCTACGTTGTTTGGAACGGATTCACAACCAGGTAGCTATCCCCGGGGTAGCTATCCTGTAATTGCCAACATCCTGTGATGGCTGTCCCCAAACTAGCTGTCCCTTAGATGGCTACTCTTCAAGATAGCTGTCCTATAGATGGCTCTCTCCCAAGATGGTTGCCCTCCAAAATTGCTATCCCTCAGATATCTGTGAAGATGGCTTTTCTCCAAGATGGCTATCCCCCAAGACGGTTGTTCACCAAATGGTATTCCCAAAATGAAATGAAAGGGTCTGGTTGCTGATAACAGCCCTTGCTTTTGGCTTGAGCCATCATCAGGAACCAGACCACAAGCCGATATTGAACCACCCATTTAGTAATTGTTCCACCACACTATTATTGCCTAATTAATATTTAGTATTGTCATACCTGTGTCTTGGATACTGTCTATTCATTGGCCCAGAACGATATCATGACAGGGCGACATATCTGCTATCACACTCACTGTGAGACATCTCTTTGCCGAGAGCATATGCAGGCGCATGAGACAAGATTTTCGGGAAGTTCGCGAGCGACCTTGTCACTCATTAATTTAGTCAGTTTTGTGTGGTACCCATGATACCTTTTAGGCATAGGTTACCAGGGAATTTGATCAATGGTCGCGCTCGTATAACAGACTCGTTCCCATCCCCACAGTGTATATTAAGATACTGCAGGGACCGCTAACCAGACTACATAATGTGACCTTGTACTCACTGGTACCCACCCTACTTTCACATTAAAGTTTATGCAATTAATGAAAGTGAGGGAACAGTGCATTCGCAGACGATGTTGTTTACATCTGTTAATTACAGTTTTACAGTGGGCCTAACGTCTTCTGAGCTCGTTTCTTTGGATAAATTCCTCACCTTCAACATACTTAAGACAGATGTATGACAAAACGATTGTTGACTGCTGCGATGTGGGATATGACTTTATGAACACCCTTGGGTACGCATAGCACCCTCAGCCTCCCCTTGGGGCACTACAGTATGTGAACAGCAGTCAACAATTGTTAAAATGCTAAATGTCGAGTGATACATAAACCAATGTAATGTTATGTTTACACACAGTCTCTGTACGTGTGGCAGATTATGTTTTAGTTCCGCACACGATTCTTTGTGTGACCTGTGTTTGACCGCAGGCCACCGTGCATGAAAAGTCATGAATATTCTCATAGTGCGTCCGGGAAATTTCTTGTAAGCTGACAATATTTCCAGTTGTCTAGTGTATAGTCTGGAGGATTCTCGTAAGAGTAAGCAATGCTAAAAAGTCTATTTTAGGAATCTTACGTAATGAGAGGAAATTGTAGAAGAATCGTAGACTATAAAATGCAAGCTCTGACAGACAAGGACGGGAAAGACACAGACACACACACACACAGCTAGAAAGATTTTGGAAGACATTTCTACTGTATGCGGGCTGTGAGAAGTGTTTCACTTGTTGACTTCTGCACCATTTCAACCTGTGGTGGCGAGTCGTCTGTGGTGCGACACTTGTAAGAAAAGTTTGTCAAGACCATAGAGCTCTATGGTCAAGACCAAGTGGAGAGCAGAGCTGAAGCTTGCTTCAAAAGAGGCAGTTTGTGACTAAATCCAGTTCCAGTTTGTGGGAGCATCAAGTAATGTATTTGTGACGGTCATCACGCCCTCGCCATTTCGTCTTGAGCCCAGTCAGTCTTATTGGACGTGGTCTTCATCCCCGTTGCAGCTCATTTTTGCACCAAGGACTGAACTGTTTTTCGCCTTCTGTGGAGTCCAGCATTCTTCACTGTCTGTAGTGCCTGTCAAGCTCTCGCCCACAAGATCATCTTGTTTACATAAGATCTTTCTTCCATGTTTATCCTTATCATTGTAAACTAGTTCCAATCAGTATTTCCTTTGTTATCCTTACTTTTTATATGCAAATTGTAGCAATCTCATTAAATCATACTGGTTTATTTGCTTATATCAGTGGGATCTTGTTTGATTTCTTTGTTGCATCATAAAAAATTCAAGCTTTGGAATAATTACTATTCTTCAATAGTATTTTTTCGGATTGTAACAGTAATAAATATTGTAGATTTATGTTTCTTCCTTAATCTGTAAGCGGTATTTACCACTTTCAGTCCTTGCTAGTTTAACTGTTTTAAGTGTGGATTTTTTTTTCAAATTCTAAAATACTGCTTATTCATGAAGCAAGGTGATGGGCTTCAATCATTTATTTGTGCACACAAATCCTTCCACTGTTGTCACAACGCAATAATGCATGCAGTACATTATTTTGGTCACAAACATGTAGTGCCTTTGGTCCTCATGGAGTAAAGAAAATTTGAAGCATATATAAACAAGTGATATTCGGGTCAATGATTTGTGTAACATTAGACATACAACACCTCGTTAGAAACTACCCTTTACAAAAAATAGGGGGCAATGTAGCAAATGGTGGAGTTACCAAATGAAAACCAAAGCTGGTATCACATTGTGAACTTCCTTGGTGCTAAAAACTCCTGGAGAGTTATACTTAAGGTGAATTTGAAGAAACGTACGGAGAGGCTGTGCTGAAAAGTACCGGCTGTGGCTCAGAGTGACACATGCGTCATTGGAAGCCAGTGGTTAGTGGTTGAACCCACAAATGTGTGTGTGTTACTGACAGCCACAACTGAGACTTTCAACACGGCCACATACATGTATAGGTTGTCACAGCCAATCCAAGTTGTTTACTATGTAAAATAACGTGCTGGGAATAAAATTCACTGTTGTGTGATTTGACTGAACTGGTCTCGACAGAATTTTGTTCTACTTGAAGTTTATTTGCACTTGGTTAATAGTGGGGTTCACTGGCCACATATTTGTAGCATGCATTATGAAATTAATGTGTAGAAATTGGTCGGTTTCCCTTACCCAATATAATGATCATGGAAACCCAGCAGATGATCATAAATACATCCACACAGTCCCATACTGGTGGATATTGGGGTTAACAACGCACCAGAAATGAAAATACAAAGACTTGGTTCCAAGGAAAGACTCACTTTTGAATGCGTGTGCCATGCCCCACAAGACGACAGTCTTAATTTTGGGATGTTAGAGCCATGCACGAGTGCCAACATGATCATTAGGAAGACAAAAGGTGCCACTTTGGAGACAGATAGGCGATCTCAATTCTCGTAACAACAAAGTTCGTGCTCACACAGTAGTCCCTGCCCGGGGCACTGCCAAAGGCACTGCTGATGCACAGATCCAAACATCCAGGAAACGAATCCCCTCAAATGCTGGCCTTTGGTAATAGTGCAATCGCAAACAGGCTCCTCCTCTTTGGTTTCTCTCAAGGACAGATCACAATTCAACAACATGGAGCTGCTAGCCCCGTTCCCAGGGGTAAAATCTTCAGCTCACCATGTTGGTTCCAATCATGCCTGGTAGGTTTGACTGAAATATCCCCCGGAACTGCAGTCAATGTGTGTTGTGGCATTTTTCACATTTATACACATGAGTTAATTTACAATCCAGAGTTAACATTAAGTTAGTGTTAATATGGGCTAGCTCTGAAATATGTGTGCAGTGTAATTTATATTTATGCATATTCATTCTGAAAAGCATGTCTAAAAGGCCAATCAGTGTAATTTTTGTTTTCTAAATGCCCGGGGCTAGTGAAGGCACGTACATGTGGCCAGCAGGGACAAGGCTTGGAGCTGGTTTATCCAGAAATATACCAAGCTCAGAAACTGCTGAGCACAAACAGGTTACCGTGTAAAATATCCAATATATACAGGACAGAACAGGTGCTTGGTTCACTGTTGCTCAGCCACACAAATCTGCTCGACAAATTTCCCTCACCAGGTCCATCAAATTAGGTCCCGGTCAGTACGAGTAACGAAGTGGAATATTTCGGTGGCCAAGACTACTTCTGTTTTTGGCCCTCCCTCTCCTTGTAGCATTTCATCACGATGCTGTTAAAGTTGGCTATGAAGACAAATGAAATAGCCTTCAGTAGACTCATCAGGGAAACCTGAAGATGAGAACAAAACGGACTCATTAGAACCTAATCGAGTCCCTAGTTGATGCTGCGAAATGGACTCATTAGAACCTAATCGAGTCCCTAGTTGATGCAGCCTTTGTTTTCTGTTTTTTCATGAGGTACAGGCTTCCAAAAGAATCTTGCGAACTTAAACAAAATCACAAGTACATGTACTCGCCAGAGCCAAATGCATCTGCACTTTAATAATGGGGCACCAGGCTAGGGAAGAATAATATGGATGCCTGACCACAGTTTGAGATCCAATCTCGGACCCGACTGGCAGTCTGGACATTTGCAAGATATTGATGCAGAAATCTGGGCATTTGAGCTTGGATTGCTCAAGGCAAGTTAAACACAATGACCCAAGTAATCAGAGAAAGCTAAAATTACAGAATGGGCAATGAAGAGAAATCTGTGAATCCAGCAGTGGGGCTGTAAAAACAACAATTACACACCGACTTTTACAGCTAGTGAGGCGAAACTTCTTTCTTGAGTGGCTTCGATTGTGTACATTTTGCATATGGTTTGGTGCTAAGTGCAAAAGAAGTGGCAAAACCTGACCAATTTCATCCCAAAATCCAGAATTTGTGGTCCCAAATCCTGCAGTCTTGAATAATTTAAGAAACGACAGCCTATTATATTATTTGAAAGTACAGACTAAAGGTAATGGGTCTGAATGCGCAAGAGTTCAGATGTTGTAAGCTAGCTGTGCACACGTGGTATAAGAAGAACACCACCTGGCCAGTATTCTGACTGTACCTGCAACAGAGCATCCAGGAGTGAAGTCACTGGTGACATACCACAGGTGACGGTTGCTAAGAAAAACCCATCCAGCCCAACGTAACTTTGAAATCTTCCATGCTGTCAAATGAAAACAAAACGAGAGCATGGAGTCATTCACCGAGTGTGACGCAGACAATTCCAGATTTCAAATGAAATTTCATGATACTGATATTGTTCACAAAGGTTCAACACCATGTACATGTATCATGAATGTAACAGTACCAGTTTATAACCAAACCACGTTAGGGGAGTCTACTATAACTGAATGGGACTACCCTCTCAAAAAAACTACATCAACCGTAACGCCCAAGGGTATGTAAAATCATATTGAAATCAGAGGATTTGGGACTGTTGGGCTATATAAATAACAAATGAGAAACCTGTCAACACAAAATAAGCTGAAAGTCAGAAATTTCAAAAATTGAAATATTGGTATTTTTGAATTCAGCAGAAAAAGAGCTTTCCAGTGGCATGTACATCAAACACCTAGGGTAAAGCTATAAGTTGACAATGTGACATTATTCTGGTAGCTTTGTGTTTTCGTTCCAAACATAGTTTAATCATTTCTGACCAGGCACGAATAATGCTATTGTCAAAATTACAGAGAAAAGGACTTTTTTAAATATATGATCCCGCAAAATATTTGGAATTAAATAGGAAATAGGTTACTCATTCCAAGTGTTACAAAACTCAAACTCGACCTCCATTTCAATGTGACTTTGGACCCTCAAAATAGAAAAGAGCAGGATGCAACTTTACGCTCATTTTGTCACGACAGGTCACAAATAAATAAATCAAGGTGTGCAGTGGCCACCAGTGGATTCACATACAAATATAAAATGGACTGAGGGTATAAAAGATTATTATTAGCTCCCTAAGGTACTGAGGGGAACTATATAATACCAACTACCTGAAACAAATTGGTTTCATAATGCGTCGTGTATACATGTGGCACTGTTTGAAACATGGGCAATGTTAGCGAACACATGTGCAACAGTTTCACAATACCTTGCAGAGACTGTATAGTAGACTGTAGCATGGGTACGATATCCCATGGCCCATCCTATTTGGCATGTCCAGTGGAATTGTGCCTGTCCAAGTGGCTGATACCAAAAATGGCTACTGCCCTATGATCGTACATGTGTAGATGGACCAGTGGGGATTTGGCAATCATGAATATGCATTTTTGTTTTTTTAGAGCCAGAGTATCAGGCTTTTTTACCTTTGCATCTTTGACTACAATCTTGGCGATCTCTTCCGGTTGATGCAGGCCAGATGTCTCTGACACAAGGATGGTCTCCTTTGGCTGCAATATAATACGGTACACTGACTACATGAGCAGTGCATAGCCTTCAGACAGGTTTGGTATACATAGGTTGCAATGAAAAGAATGATTTCTTAGCTGAAAGATGGAATTCAAGTGGACTTCCATTCCATCTGCCAACTCACAAAATTACTCTTTCTACTGCATAAATATGAAACATTATTTGTGCTAAGCCTATACAATACCTGAATCGATAATGAATACATCCCAGCAGGCCCTGTGTGACCTACTTTGTGAAAAGAGCCCCAATTTTGCACAATCGATAATGCGACCACGCTGCAGAGCTTCCATTTACCAGGAAATGGAAGTTCTGTTTCTGTGGTTTGGCTGGTTGGCAGCGAATTATTCAATGACACATGATCAGTGACCATCAATCAGATCCCATGGAAAGCTAGCCTTGCAATGAAGTTGCTTTAGTTATACTTGCCATGTTGATTTTATCCTCAGCCAGCATGGGTGTGTCTGTATCTGGTGGGAAGTTGATAGTGATATAGATATTGTAGGGCTTAACCTGGAAATGAACAAAACAAATGTTCACCGTACAGGTATGTCTTATGAGTTACAGAATCTTGGTTTTTACAGCTGTTTTACGTGAGATCAAATCTAGATCTCAAGGTTCCTTTTTTCCATGGCCACACACTAAGATATAAATAAACCCAACAACTTTCTTCTTTAAACGGAGAGGTACACACATACAAGAATGCCGTCTCCTCATCGCTGGAACAATATACCAGCATTTGACAAATGAAGCCATCAAGTCCTGTATTGCCCTTCTCCCAAACTGTCGAAAATCTATTTCATCAGTGAAAAAGAAAAACATTTTGCTATATTCCTTACTCCAATCATTTTATGAAGGTACTTGAAGTAGGAGCCATACAGGGTTTTTTTAAGTATTAATTTTGACCAACAAATGCACAGTCAATGGAACCAATGAGAATCAAAGAATCTAATGAGACTGGCCAGCTGTGAATTACTTCACCGCACCAATCCTACAAGCAGGGAGCTCTCGCTGACTTACACATGACCTGAAGTCTATCTGCAGCATCGTACACAATATTTATAAACTAAGAGAAACTAAAGCTTTAAAACACAGAGCACGACCCGCAGCTAGGCCAGCATGATAACAACAACTGTACATGACACATGTAGTGACCATTTTGTCCTTTGATATAGAATTCACAGTTATTTTACTTGAAATATGAGCCTTGATGTCTAGAATACAATGTATGACTGATATCCAAACTTTGTGCATGCAGGGAGACTGTGTGATCACATGGTATTACAATGCCTTCTCATTGGACCCCTCAGCATAGTTTACAATGAACACCGTCAGAGTAATACTTGTGCGTTGCATTTTGCGTCTGATTTATTGTGCATTCTTTCGCAGCGGAACGCCTAAGGTAAATCGAACAGTCCTGTTAAACACCGATTCAGCTTGACCAATACAGTTTTAGAAAAATTTTCCCGCCGAACGATTTTCCAGCCCGCGTAAAAATTCCCGATCGCCATAGGTTGCTTCGGACGCAATCAAGTGGCGCGTCTGTAGTTGCCACGGGCTTACGTAACTTCCACCCAGCCACGGTTATTTGCATTTTGTTTGTATCTACAACCGGCATTTGAGTTCCTGATTCACTTTGTTTATATTCATGAGTTTTGGGTAGAGTAGATTTTGATCTTGGAAAGAGTGTGTGGGTGTGAGGGAGAATGATTTTGATCTCCAAGGTGGTAACATCAAGTTTGTGAGCTGAGAATTTTTGCAAGTGACTGGTACGAACTTTCCTGAGGTCTCTGAAGCAGCAGATGACGATCAACCGGAGGAAATCCAGTCCAGGTACCATCGGATCATCAGATTTAGCTACTATAGAGCTAATACGATCCTTCGAATCTCGTCCCAGAATTTTGCAACACTCAGCCAAGACATCATTGAATAATGTTACCTGAAATAACCGTACGTTTATTATTTTGTTTTCTAAGAGTTTGTTGTCGAAATGTAGTTTTCTTGAATTAAAAATACCCTGTGTTTATTCTTGGGTACAGACTGACCATACATAAGCATGATTTGAAGATCAGTATGAGATTTTCTTGATGTATGACAATTGCGAACGTAATTGATACGTATTGTTTCAAACGCAACGCATAAATAAATGCTGAATAAGAAACATTGTGACTTACGCAGTTGTGAAATGGAAACTTTTAAGTAATTTCCGCCATTAATTAGTAGACTTGAAACTTGTACATGACAATGTTGAATTTAATTGTATAGACGGCCGTGACCTTTGGTATTTGAGAATTCCCTTTACATCCACTTTACGTGTAAGTACAATAGTTCCGGGTAGCCTAACACCTGAAGTCAAGCTGACGTTGAGAGGAGACTATGCCGGACTCTGTAAAAACCTGGCTGGAACGCCACGGAACCGGCCGAACGCACCATTACGGAGTGGAAATTCACATCATTACTTTGAGGGAGTAATCACATATCAGGGACTTATATTTGATCAACATAATGAAGTTAACAATTTCCAATAATTAAGTGCATAGCCCCCTCAGAAATCTAGTAGACAAGTAAAGTACAATTATTTCAAATTTAAGGGCCCATTATATTCAACATCATTTTATTAGTTACACACGCCCACACTGTACAAACTGGTTCCAAGTCATTATTTTCCATGAGTCTGAAGTATCTTTACCCGGAGTCATCACTAACATAATGATCAAACTGTTCAGTTTAGAGAAATAGTGACAAGCACCCAAGGCAAATATATCACCGGGCCTCCTACCTCCATCTGCAGGGTCTCCGCTAGGCCCCTGACGGCAAACTTGCTGCTACCGTACGCCGTGTAACCATACACACCCAGCTGGCCGGCCTGTGAGGAGATGAAGACGATTCGACCACGTCTACGCTCTTTCATGTACGGCAGTACTGCACGGGTCGGGTAGACGGACCCTAAGAAGTTAGCATCCATTACCCGCTGATGAACCAAAAAACATTGTGTACAAGTATACATAAGTATCATAGTTCTCATATAGTCGTGTTACGCTTTTCGTAACTTAACAAATTTGTTACCATGTGACTATTAACTGACTGTAAACAGAGTTAAATAATTTCTTCAGTTGGGAGACAACTAGAGCCAACCCATGCAAGTGCTTATACGTTTATTTGTGAGTACTAGGACCCTCATTTCTTGATAATGAGATCTAACTGAAGCAAAAGCATTTTGCAGTCATGGGATGTTCTTCATATCCATGACATGCAATATGGCATAATTGGCTGACCGAGTAGTTGTCAAGGGTGCTCCAACGGTCATTCAAGTCCTCTGCTTCCCCACTGGTGAAGCTCAAGTTTCATGCACTCAATCACTTTTCGATACTCATGCACTGACGAGTACATAACTGCAGTAAACATATCTTAAATTAGTGACACTAAGGCTCAAAAGTGGAGCATCAGAAGCAAAACGTGGAAACCTGGGTGAGCAAGACTTCCTACGATGTGTGAAATTCATCAATGGTATGCACTAGGTGTTAAAAACAGTTGCATGCCTGGACACTGTGAAAGGAAGAACAAACTCCCCCCACAAAAAGTGCCAGGAATTTCAAGATTTAGAATATATTTTAACAAATCAAGTACCTAATTTTTCTCGCTTTTTTTTTGCTTCGCCTATTTCTTCAAACCCCTTGCATAGCAAAAATCAGCAGCCACCTGTTGGGAACCATTATGACTTTCAAGATCTTGATCTGCAGAATGGGGTTCTCCCCTTGTACAAACTTGCGTACCTGGCCCGATACACAATTACATGTATTTCTGCCCGATACGCAAAAAACAGGCCAATACCCATTTTTTATTCCCCGATACGCACAATATAATTATGACAGTATGGCTCAGAATTTTCTTACATAATGCAGATTGCATGGCCGGAAAATCTAGACGAAAAAGTAGTTAAGAGTCCTGCAAGTCCAAAAATTTTCAGGGCCCTTGGACGGGCCCCGAACTCCACACCATGGCTTCGCAAAATGTTGGTAAACCACAATGGAAATCCCCCACACTTTGAAAAATCCTGGGGAGAACCCTGGTGCCTCACTCAGCTAGTCTGTCAGCTTGCTTGGAAGAACTTACACAGGGCCCTAAAGTCTATGCTTTGAGAGATAAACGCAAAAATTCAAGTCGTCGGCATTCTCGACAAATAAACCGATCTTTGCTAAAGATGTCAGGAAGAGTCTGTGTCATACCTTGAAATCGTTTATGTTTGTATCTTCAAAGGAGACGGCTCTCGACATGCCAGCTGAGTTGACAAGAATGTCACATGGTCCTAACTCCTCTGCAGACTGAAATTGATGACATGATGTGAGGTAGCAGACTATTATATATCCCTTCTTATTTGTCGAGTGAGAATTCACACACTGAAATTTTTCAAGTTGCTGTCTGACTCTAACAATTTTTATCCAATGTGAATTCCAACGCTTCCGAGACACCTCTAGAATCCTCCTAGGGAAATTGCTCTCAATTGATGAACAGAGCCGAGAATGAAAAAAGGGGAAAAAATGAAGAGCAATCTTAAATTGTACAAATACCCCACTGCTACAGCCCTAAACAATTGACTGAAAATGCCCTTCTCGACAGAAAATTCATTTGATCCACCCCTCTCCCGTAACTTTCCACTAGCCCTGCTTGCCATCATATTCTAAGTGTTAACAGAAAATTTTTCACAAAAAGGGACGAAAGTGGACTCTGAAATTGTTTGCTTGAAATTTGAGATACACAGGGAAAGCTTACGCATACAGTGCAGGTCTGCCATCTTAAGTCTCCCCAAAGCCTGAAATTAGCTATATACAGAGGAGTCAGGTTGTTGATTCAACATACTCGATGTAAAGCATGCTTTTGTACTTACCTTTCTGACGGCATCTTCGACTGCTGCATATTCATGGCTGACGTCCACCGAGATACAAAGGATTTTCTGAAACGAAAACAATGGCGAAATGTCCTCAGAATGACAGATGCAACTTTCAATTGGAGTGATAAAAAGGCTAAGGCCGAGGCTAGATGCCGTGCTATTGCATGCCGTGTCGAACTTAATTAACACGACTGCGGCAGTAGCACGGCAATAGGGCGGCAGTTGGTTGCACTAAATGTAGAACTTAACAAAGGCAGTGTCACGCTACTGCCGGTTGGAACACCGGCAGCACGGCATACCCTGTCAAGCTAAAGAGTTTGCTATGCTGAATTGAATTTGCTAAACGCTGTGCTAATGCCGTACCAAACTTTAAAAATTTAATTCTTTGAGTTTGGCACAGAAGTAGCACGCGTATAGCGTAGGCCTGAGGCATGTTAAAAAAATAGGCTTCTAGAGATATCGCCACACCTATGTTTTACATCAGCACTTGCTCTTGAATTGGAAATTTGCCAATGGCGTAGTCAGGTTTGGGGTCCAGGGGAGAAAAATGGGGATTTCTTTCTGAAATGACTGACCACATTTTATCGTCTATGAAAGAATCCTCAAAACCCCTTTAAGAAATGTGGTAGTACTGTATCTAAGAAGTTGGCCATTTCATTTCTGGAAAAAACTTGACAACACGGATACACTACTTGACTGGCAAAGATCTACATGCATGCCTCGTCTACACACAAGGTTTGGTCGGAGGTTCAGATGCAAAGTTGCAAATATAGGTACAGCGTAGCCGTGGAAGAAATTTACACCATACCTCCAAGTGAAATGCTCAGGACTTTGTCCTTTCCAGGAATGGTTTTCTTTGATTACTTTCCTTTCTGGTTTGCTGGTTTCCTTTGTGTTCAGGATACATGGACAAGTACAGCAAATGTAATGAACACTCCTTTGTACAAGGATCTTTGTGATATCCCTCCATATTCACTGATTAATTACAAACAACATTCCCTCTGTGTTTGGATTTTGACCAATCAGCAGTCACATACATGAAGTATGGGCCTTTGGTCGTGGCAAGTTCCATAACGTAAGGGAAAGCATGGCATACACCTCGATGCACATGCCCCACGCACGTGCCGTACCAGAGTGCAGACTATCAGTTGACAGGCCTACATGTACATACGTATACATGTACATCACGTGTGGTAGGACTTACATGTACATGTACTGTGAGTCCGTTCACACAAGTATTGTACATGTACATGTATGTGTGTGTATTCGCCATCCAAAATTAAAGAACACTGTATTTCTCATGTCTTAAACACTTTTGGACACATTTTCGAAGGAGGCTGTCTAAACCTGGCCAGCTGATACATGTATGTCAGTTGGCATCTATCAACCAATCAGCAGCCTTGAGCAGATTTCAAAAGTGGATTCTTATTGGCTAGCACAAGCATGACAAGGGGCAGCATAGCGCATGCTCACGTATATCAGACACTATTTGGGAGCCACCACAGGCTCACAGATGGCACTCAGACTAGCTCCAGGTACAAACATGAACAACAGAATGTCAAATAATAACACAGTACCATGAAACCATATGTCTAAATTAACTGGCTGTGGCTATGAGTAACATACATGCCCGTGGGAAGTGGCTACAACGAGCAGCTTCCAGACACTCAGCAGTAGCCATAGCCTCAACTTCAAGACACAGCCCGCTACAAGAGAATCAATAAAGGATTTCTTTATCTACTACCTGATTGTCCTTGTCCTTAATATACTGCTGTAGGTCTTCCTTGGCTTTCTGTAGCCTGGTCTGGGTAAAGCAAAAGATTTGTTGAATCAAATCAAATTGAAATTACTCCTTTGAAATGTAATTTGCATGGCCTATCATTGCCAATGAGCGATCTGAAGAAAGGGGGGTTTGTCAAAATGTTCACCCGGTTCCTAGAAGAGGACAAATAACTTCTTCAACTTTATCTTATTCAACTTTTTTCGACTAACTTCGGAAGATGACAGTGGAACCATGCTGAACAGAGGCAGGAGTAATTTTGCGACGAGTGAGCACAGTTTTGATTTTAAGGGGACTGTGGGGTGAACACAATGACCATGCAAAAGCAACTGTACATGATGAAAGTCTGTGACAGTGCCAATACTGGTTTCCTAGATTGTCATTAATTGGTTGATGAAAAAGGTCTTTTAAGAAGCCGATTTCTGATTGGTCTGGCCTCGTAGGAGTAGGCTTTCCATTGGAAATAGCAGCTTTGCTAAAAGCACAGCGTGCACATACATGTATGCCACTTCCCAAGTCATTAAAAAAAGCAGGAAAGTTGCATTCCCCCCCCAAAAAAATAGGGTGAACAAAGTTCTACTGAAAAAAGGTCAATAAAATTAAGAGAAGACTGCACGGAGTGACAGATTGAAGCAACAGAATCTCTTTTCAGAGTCAACAATTTTGTGTAGTGTCCCAGATCTCCACAACTTTAGTTTTAGGCTAATCAAAGTCCCAATGAAACTAAACAAAATCAATGTGTGGCCTTTGATGGACTCCTGCAACTCTGAAAGGGACCATTTTATTTATTTATTTTTTTGGGGGGGAGGAATTTGCGGAACTTTCTAACTCCTCCAATATGCAAGGAAGTGGCACGCAAATTTCATCTGATTTTGGTTTGGGTGGGTTTCATTGACAAGTGCAATTTTCAACATTTTAAATTTTCTATGCCTTTTCTGACAAATGTGGGTGCTGTTGCCATGATGCCATTACAGACAAGACATCATTCATTTGGGGGAGGGGACCCTGTTCAAGTTGTGAACCAAAAATATGCTCAACAATGTGACAAAATTTGCTCACTTACTGTCACGTACTAAATCAACGAATCAACACAGTAAACAATATTTCTGATAGCAAAATATCGAAACTGTTGAATACATGTACTTTTAGAGCACAATAGCTATGACACTGAAGTTTCTGCCTTGCACAATATCACTCATTTAGCTCATATATATGCACATTTGCATCAGCATCAAAATACAACTTGCCCCTAGAAGGCACAACACATTTTGAACGTCAGGTTAAATGGGAAATAGAGGAGAATTAAAAAGACCATAAAAATTATACAGCATGGACTCATTCTCTTCACATCTTCTCATGATGTACAGTATTCCTTACTTGATTCCTAGCCAGAATGGTAACATTTGCTCCTTGCTTCAGGACTTCAGCAGCAACTGCCTTGCCAATACCGCTTGATCCTCCAGTAATCTGTAATATTAAACATTGGATATGTATGAGTCATGTGAGCATGGAGAGTGCAATGGTAAAATGAGTTTCATTATTCTGCAGAGGCGTGCGGGGCCGGGACGTGGTGACCGGTGTTTTGTTTGTCTGCTAGTAAGATTAACCATGCTAACATGACCAATACCTGAATATACAATTCGTTGCAGCTGTTATATAGGCCTACCCCGAGTTTCCCAGAAAATGGCTCTTTTTCTTGCTACCCCCAGAAATATGGGGTTCGACGTCCGCCGCGCTCCCTGCCCACGTGGGAGCGCAGCGGACGTCGAACCCTCCGTAGTCATGGTAGTGGGGGATGGATGGCTATGTCACTTGGCAGCCACTGCGATGAAATTAAATCAACACTCACCACAACATGAGCTTGCTTTAGGTCCAGCAATTTTGGTTTGATCGAAGATGATAACCACACAAAAGTTACAATGAATACGATAATGATAGAGATGACTAAGTACTGAAACATTGTGGTTTTTAACTGAGAAACATCAAAAATACGCAAGATGTACATGTACATGTACAATCGGCGCGGAGACGAATAGAATTTTAGAACTCTTGGTGGCGCTGTTTCAAACATTATAAGTTGCAGTCCAGTCATTGAACAACAGTGATAAATACCTTAATCTAACAAAATTAGGAAAAATACTCAGGAGTTTCTCAGTTATTCGAGACATACGTCAAATTAAAGCACATATTATGATTTTTCATTTTCTGTTCAGATTTTCATTTATTAACCTATGACTTTTGAAGATATTAATTTCCACGGAAGGTCATGCCAAAAACTCAGTCATGAAGCCCCCCGCAATTTTGAAATATCGATGTCTACACTTTTCGAAAAATGGCCCGGGAAAAAACTTTTTTTCACCAAGCAAACGAAAACCGACCCACGTGCAGTTACCACATGTCTACAGGTGGTTCTATCTTCATAGTGCCCGACTTGTTTCGAAGCGAAAACGCTATGCCCTTTCGGTTTCTCATCCTAAAGACTGTTTATTTCTATGGAGAAAGAGGTAACACCCCTCCCCCTGCTTACTTACTAACGAAAATATATCTGTGAAATTTCGTTTAGGTAAGTAAGTAAAAAAATAAAGAATTTTCATAACATTTGTTACAAATTCAATGGCAGCTAGGTTCTTCCGCATTTCAAAGAAAAGTTGAATGCGGGGGTCCCCACTCACTGGCAGGCTGCTTTTCCCCCGGCCATGTGGTTTTATGTGGGTGTATTAATTCTGTAGGCAGCAAGGTATATTATAAATGGCACAGTTTGAGAACATTGTTATATCGTTACATCCATTTTTGTGCTTGGTGTTATAACTAGAAGAGGGTTTTTTCAGAAATATTACTCTCTAGTTGGCTTCAATAGCAGGAACTTCATTGCAACACACCACAGTCAAGAAACACTCTCGCCAAAGAAGAGTTTGTGATATTCACGAATTCGGTGAGTGGAATTGAAGAATGTTTTCTATTTTGAAAGTTTCCTTTTGATTCAACATTTTGAGAGTCACACTCGTGTAAAAATGATTCACTAGTTTGGATTTAAATGTTAAGACGCCTGTCTCATTTCAAAAGCTGTATGATTATAAACATAAACACAATTCTAATCACTCCCCAAATGCATCGGTATGCTCTTCAGTTCAAGTTTGTTCTTTTTTCAACTCAAGAAACTTTCCATTGATATATTGTACAAAGAGATTGCTTCCGAGTTAGATGGTTTTACTGCAAAAACCGCTGTGTTGATTTATCACCCTGATTAGTACCATGGGACCTCAACGGACTAGGTCTAGTCCTCTGATAACACCCAGGGTGTTAAATCAACACGAAATTAACACCACAGTTTTTGTAGTGATGCTATCTCCCTCTCACTCTCATAAAGACTTTTCCAATATTGTCGCAGTGCAGTTTTTGTTATCGTGTCGTGATTTTATGGGGTTTTTTAGTGCTGTATCGCGGTCAGTCTGAATTCATCTTTTGAGAAAACTTTGACACTAGTTCTCTCTGGAAATGCCAGTTGCTCAGAGCAGGCCCGGCCTACAGGTTAACAAAATGTTAAATTTGTCCCTTTGGCGTGTGCTGAAAGCGCCTATACACGCCTGGGCGTTTGAACTCGAAATGACCCCAAAGATAACAACATTGTGCGACTGAATCGAATCTTCATTATGTGTACTATACATATCTTTACACGCGTGCCAAATTTCAAAAAGATTGGTCTCAGGACACTAGTTTTTAACGGGGGATTTGCCCACAGACTGGAAGAGGTAAACAAATCGGTTCCTTTAAGCAATTAGTAATAACTGCAAATTACAAGCGCTTGTAAAGAGAGAAAACTGAAGACGATGGAGACAAATGGATAACACCATTACTTACCGCTACTTACTTTTTTGAAAATTATCTTGGCTTTTTCTAACTTGGTTTGTTTTTATGCCTTTCTGCTATGATTAATTTGATTGGAGGGAATTCCAGCATGAGTTTTCTTCTTTGGTTAAGTTTCTTTTGTTGATTTTCTTGTAGTAATAGTATTTTTTGTTTTGTAAAGTGCTTTCATAAAACTCCTGTTATGAAAAGTGCTATATAAATAAGAATTAAAATTACCGCTAATGGGTCATTAGGGAGACATTCCCATAAAAATGTGCACAAAATTATTCCAACTTTACTGGCCCATAATTCAATATTCCCTAATCTGATCTAAAGCAAACTTTGTATGTTTTCATTTTAGGCCCTAAACTATCATCTCTCAAAATATGGACACTTAAATTCGGCCTCCTTATGGAAGTTTGAGAATAGGGAGACACTGAAATGTCTCCCTAAAAGCCAAGGTCTCCCCAATGCTGAAAAATGTCTCGCAAATGACCTATTTATAAATATTCTTCAAGTTCTTCTTATTATTATTATTATCATTATGGGGGGAAATATGTTTCTTGAGAGCAGATATGATTTATGATACTCTACGTTCCTGATCTGATGGGCCGGATTGTTCCACAGGCGGGGAGTAACAATATAAAAAGTCCCGTCCCCGGCCCCATGTTCAGTATAATTAGAGACGACAGGAGTGAACTTATCACGAGAAAAAAGAAAGATGAATACGTCTGCTTACTGAGAAGAGACGAGATAATAATTTGAAGGTGTGGAATTTCAGGGTAAACCCTGCGTGCTGACCGGGTCGTCCAATAATTCCTAAGACCAAGATTAGAAATTTTACATCTCGACAGCTATCTCTGTATCGTCATACCATGTGCCCGTAAGTCCTGGGTATAAGTCTTGAGCACTGACGCATCCCAACCGGCCGGAATTAACCTTGACAAAACTCTTTGATTGATTAGTAACTTTGCAAGTTATACGAAGCACTTTTTTTTTGAGTGTGTGAAGAAATATCTGATAGTTGTATGGAATGAGGCCCTGGGGTAAGGACGTTACAGGGGAGAGATTTTAGGAGGCACTTAAAGCAAATGAACTAGCCCCGTCCCCCGTTACACCATGTACAAGTAATGGAGTCGGGCTGTTTTCCGCGAGCTTTATAAAGAGGCTCTTATTTTCAGGTTTTAGCCAATGGGACATGAGTGTTTCGTCTTGGCCGTATTTCAGTTCCACACCCCACCCGCTTCCTCCTCGGAGCCTCAAACAGCACTGTATTAATTGTCCTTGGAAAGAAGCCCAACCGTGCTCCACCCTGATCGGGAAACACCTCCTTCGCCAAGCTCGTCACCTTTTTCCGTCTTCCAATTCCCGGCGGAATCACACGTGATATCGGTTCTTGACTTTATCGCCCGAGGTACCGCGCAGAGCTCCTTGTCACACATCTGGCCACCACATCTACCCCCGAGAGATGATATTTAGATAAGAATTCGGTTACATTTAAAGGTGTCAATTTAAAAGTATCTCTGTGTATGGTAAACTTTATACGCCAGTAACCCTCATCCAATCCAGTAAGGACAATTTTTACATCGACATCATTAGATTTTGTTGACATGTCCCTATTCCTTTGTTATGTCCTTTTCGTACACTCCGTAAGTATCCTGTGCAAGGTCTGGCGGCCATCCGACCGATAACAGTGACTTGTGTTGAGTGAATAATGGAGGGGGTGTTGCTCCACTGAAACCACATATCCTTGGAAGCAATGCAACTTAAAACGGCATTTATCAGTTAGAATTGGCCACTTGAGAACACTTCACCTGATAGCCAACCGATTATAAAATGTATCGGTAGGACCATTCTGTCCGACAACCTATCCGATAAGAAGTTTGAAATGGTGCCTAAATAAACTTGTTATTTCGGTGGGTTACAAGAACAGAAAAATACCATTATGCATCAAATTGAGTTCACATTAAGTCATCAGTGTGAGCTCTTTCGATCCTGTGGGTTCAGTATCGAAGGTTAAACGGCCACCATTGCTTCGAGCGGTACAATACAAGTAGCCTTCCTAAGTGATCCAGGTAGCAACCGAGATAGGCTAGTTACATTATGCCACACAAGGTAGTCAATATTATTTTTTCGCACGCAAGAAAGTAAACACCACGAATGCCTTGTTAGCAGTTGTGGTTCGACCAAGATGCATATAGTTTGTGGATTAGGTGTCATAAAATTAAATGCTTCTAAACGTCGTTCTTTCGTTGCATGCAGAAATAGCACTGTTGTTAAACATACAACGATCTTCGTTAACAATGAGAGGCGTGGGCAAGGGCACCCCTCCTATAAAATGATGCAATTATCTCCGTGGATAATAACTGTTACATATATTTTGACGAACATTCAAAACCACAGATTGCGTGATGATTCCCTTCATCGAGGGTAGATTTTCCCAAAAGCACTTTTTAGCTATTTCAGCATTACCAAAATTAACGTGCATTTCTTTTGGGCTAACTACTGGTGTGGGCTTCAAAATGCCCCATCGAGAGGGAACTCTCAACGAAATTTTCCGGAAAGGGTGGTAAAATGGTACTGTTTATTGTGTAGTTACATCCCACAATATCCACAAATAAACTTTGATTGGAGCAAGGCCGAGAAAACAACAGCAAATGGGAGGAAATTAATCGACAAAACGAAATGATGTTGTGAACATACCAACTAACGAAAACCACCGTGCATAATCACAAGCTTTCTAAGACATAAACTTTTTTCAAGAGCTGATAAAATTAAAAAAAAACTGTGGAACATATTTCAAACTCAACAAAAAACCTTAAATCTTCCCCTTCCACAAATCTGCGTTGTCGAATCGTATTATCCACGTTAATCACTAAAAACCAAACCCTGGTACTGTTTAGCTGGTGAATATATACATGTATTTTAAAAGTAAAACTTCGTTCAGCCTTGTCTTGCAACTATATTGTAAGAATGGAAGTACCCAATTAAAATGTCTGGCACTGTTAATGCCGCCGCAACGTGTGAAAGACTCGCAAACACCTGACTTGAATTGACTGTGTTTTGTGAGTTTCCAGGGATCTTCGCCATTAACAAAATAAAAATCCAAAAGTCATGCCTCAAGCCTTTTTCTTTGCTCCTTAAAATAAACTCCACAAAGCTTCTATCAGTAAAAACCCAGCAGTTATTTACTTTACATGTCGAATATCCCATGTAGCAATATGATGTAATACTATAGGATTTAAATTCAGTAATAGTACCAGTTCAAACTTTCGGAAGGGAAACACAAGGTCAGGATGTAGAGAGATGACTTCAATCTTTCAAGAGAGTCATATGGACTTCATGTTTTTATTCTGTGTGCTTATTAGAATTGGTATTTAATTTACAAAAAAACCTGGATAGTTGGTAGGACACGATTTTATAAGCTGCTGAATTTAAACCACTTCAACTTTAAAAATTCAACACATGAGATTCCACAGAGTTGAGCAGATGGGGTCATCACCCTAATGCGGGAAAGACCAAACCTTTAAACTCTGTTCAGAGCCAAGACAGGAACTCCATTTTAGACCTATGACGTATTTTGAGGTTTTTGTGGGTAAATGCAAAATTCAGTTCGTTTCATGTCAAGTCCTGCTTGTTCATGATTACCTAATGCTAGATGCTTATCAAGGAATGTTAGATATAAGCCCGATGGCATTAGTAACTGAGCGAAATGGAAAACATCTTCGGGAAAGCAACCAGCTTATTTTTCACGTTGGGAAATTCTGCTTCTTATGATAACATGTAGCATGAGTAACATGTAACATGAGTATTAAATGTGTGCAATGATACGGAAAACTCACAAAGATTTAATGTGGTGATGGAAAATGTTTCATTTTGATTTCAGTTTAGTCCTTAACCTCTTACCAAAGTGATTTGTGCTTTATAACAGAGAGAAATAGCCATCCCAACTTGTTTGTGTCGGTGGCAGTAACTACAAAACAAAGCTTTGTCATTTGACATTTGCGTCTGTTACACACGAATCTCTAGCGTTAAATTTGTTTAAATGCAAAAGTTAGCAAACAAGAACCAGTTAACCGCGACGGAGCGTTACACAGATGCAGCATAACTTGCTGTGGAACTGGGCGGAAAGTAAAAGGGAAAAATGGAAAACATCTGATCTGCTCTTTGAAAGGAAAAAATGACACATTTGTTTAGAATGTACTAACATACGGAAATTGTTACAGGAAACTTCTTTCATTTATTTTAAAGGAATCAAAAGCGGTAAGTTGTAGCTTCTTCATTCGCAGCGAGAAAATTGTTTTGCCCTTGAAAGAAATTTAACACCGCCCAAACTTGATGGATGGATTTGATTTTCGAAAGACGAACAATAAATCAGTGTCCTTTCAGTTCGGTTTGCGTCTCAAATTCCATGCACTGCAGAAGCTGCGGTCTCAACATTTGCTGTGATCCGGTGCAAAATCTGCACAGTGTTAGCTCAGCACTGTGTGCTGTTTGGTTTTAGAGTGTGTAATACTAACGTACACGCTAAAACCGGTAGCAGTGTCAAATAAACAAATTTCGGAGGTTGAAAGCGTCCGTGGTATGAATTTTACCGGGGTCGTATATGCAGATTTTGAATCTCCTTAGGCCTAAGGATTCTTAAATGTAAGGAAATTTAAGTACACTTTGTACTAACAGTCGAAAAATTCTCGCGCTTTTGCGAGGGTGCTGTTACTGTGATGGGGAAGAGTTTTTCAAATAAATCAGGTCATGGAAAGTATTTGTTGGTATAATGTAATTTTCTCATTTACTGTCATACCCTGAAACAACAAATCACTAGAGAAAACAAACTTTTTCCACAACGAAATAGCCGAAAACCTGGAAAATATTATCTGTATAAAGACTGGGGGTTTTACCTTGGTTGACGTCCCGCTTTTACTCAAATCGAAATTGGAATAAAAATAACAATGCACTAAAATGCCTTTAGAATGAAATTTAAAAACTTGAAAAACAAGTCCAACGGGACACACAGAATTTATCCAAATTGCACTCAAATTATTGCACTGCATTGACCTGTTATTGCTTCACATACATGTACATCGTCAGATCAATTTTTGCTATTCAGAAAATTCCGGCCTTGGCAAGGTTGAAACCAAGATGTGCTTGTCACAACAAGTTCAATAACGTTAGGCCTTGTTGATAAAAAAAGCTAAGCTCCGGTGGACGAAGGCAAGAACTTGTCTTGCTGAAGACATTTGCAGGGTGTGTAAAATGAACTTGTAAAGACAGAGCGTCAGGAGTAAGGACAGAGCCTGTTACCAGACTGACGACGACAACGGATCATCACTTTAATAAACACGATAGCCAATCGTGTCAGCGAAACAACTCACGTTTTATCTTAAATCCCCAAGCAACAGCCAAAATGATTTGTTGACAAAATTGCATTGAATGTAGCAAATTAGCCTTTGGGTACTCTTGGTCCGAGTAGCCGACAGGAGACACCAACCGATATTTCTCATCGATGGTTTTTTAATGGTAACAGGGCAAGCCCCAATCTCTCGACCTGAAAAAATCCACATGTCTTTTCATTTCTGGGCTGTCGTTCGAAACTTCCCCAATCGAAGGCGTTCAATTCTCCATCCATATATCAGGTGATGTCATGACCTACCCTGTGTTCTTTGTAGATCCATTTAGTCTGAAAATTCGTAATAAAAAATACATAATTCATGGAAGTCACCAAGTTCTTGCACCAACGGCCCCAAATGAAGGCTTCGTGTGTAGCAAGTGCAATAGTTTTGCTGGGTTTAAATCGGTTCTTGGAGAAAATAATTACCAACATAATTGTCAACATACAGCAAAATAAGAATCATTTTGTGTTAAAAGACTCATCTTTCCCACCAGGCTAACGAAAGCAATTTCAAAGTCTTCGTTTTGTGTTCCACCCCCCGCCCTCAAAAAAACACCTAGAACAGAAAGTAAAGGCAGTGACTCTGTTGGAGGATTTTCTGAACACGAAGTGAAAACATCTGGAGTAATGAAAGAAAATGACATCGGAGTGTACTTCCCTGTATACGTTTTTGTGGGTTGCTCATGCTTTTTGCCGCAATGGCTATTAATGCGCATGCGCACACAATTATGGAATCAATTTTGTTGGTGAAAGGTCCATATGGCCAAGATCCAGAAACCACTGGGAATATGGACGGAAGAGACAATCCTCGACCTCGTCTACTGCCTTTTGAAAGTGTCTCATTTGGAGAATGACAAGTGGGCTCTGCGCGATTAGATAGGTTTACCGCAGAGCGTTTCTGGACGACGACTCGCTTCGCTGACGTCAGCCCGGTAAAGTCTTTAAAAGTCCCGAGCAAGGTCTCGGGCCAGCCAAATCCGCTGTTTCAACCCAGCCACACATCTGCCAAAAGGGCATCGTTGCGGTGTCGATTCGCTACTCCAAATAAGAAAAGTCGTCTCCGTTGGTCAAGAAAAGTAGCAGTATAAAACGAGTAAGTGAGGTTTACCTGAAGCATCTTCAAGCGAAACTTTTACGTCACCTGGACCAAAAATCTTTGTCATTTGGAACATTTGGAAAAACCATATTAGCATTTTTGTGATAATTTTTAGACAATTAGTGGATGTTTAGTCTGGTTTGGACAATTATTTTTGTTAGACATCGAGATATGGCCTTTTGAAAAGGCACGCGGTTCCTCTATCTGGGGCTGCGACACAGCCTTTCTCCCACTCATAACCACCCTTCGCTTTGCTGTATTTTGTTGCTTTTTCTGCACATCACCCAGTGGTGTATCGCGGGAAGGCAGGGAGCGAGTCCCTTCCCACACGGTTGCCAACTTTTGTTAAACTGTTGTTGCTTGTTATTGCTGCGAACAAATACATAATTTCCCGCAATGACATAAGGGACACTGAAGGAGACAGAAAATGTCTCAAGTCAAGTCAAATTGAGAACCTTTTTTTGTCCTAGCAGGATGTGTCTATCCTGGGGTGTCCTACTGGCTGCTTGTTTGGCCCTCCTGACCGCGGAGACCCAGCGACCGGTGCACGCTCAGGGCGTGGAGGTCAACGGCAAGATCTGTACTCGGACGGTGCTGCCAGCGTACTTGAGGGCGCCTTGCGACGAGTACCATCGCACTCAGCAGGGAATGCCCGAGCTTGAATCTGCACCAAGTAAGGAGTCCCACGCATTGAACTTGCCAATAGTTGCTAAGGTAGCCTCGAGGGACATCTGCTTGCAGATGCGGATTACTCGCAGATAAGACTTGGGCATGTAGCCATATACTTCAACTGTCACAGCACAGTTAAATGTGCAAAAACACGCAAAAATCTCAGAAAATAATCGGTCCACAATTATTTTGAAGAACGCACATCTACATGCAATGCCATTCTTTCCTGGTCCTTACAGAGAAAGTAATAGTGACTACAAGAATTTTTGAAACTGTCTAAAATTAATGACAATAGTTATCCTATTTAAATTTAAACTCACCACCACTTTTTGTGGTAGATAACAACGTTGTGGAGGATGTCCTGGACACGTCTTCAATGCACAAAATTTTGTAACAATGCGGCCGTTTCACAATAGTGCGCCACCAAGAGTTTACAACGCGTTTGCCAATCACAATGCCCGAAATCTGTCGACTAAATGCGCGTTTGGAAAGGGTCAACAGATTTCGTGCATTGAGATTGGCCAACACGTTGCAAACTCTTGGTGGTGCACTATTGTGAATCGCCCATATTGACGCACAGTTTCCTACCTGAGGCAATTGCTCCCTGTATTGAATCGGTGCTCTAGGAACTAAATTATCTTAAATCAAGTCGCACTTCACGTACTTGCAATACTGCACAATTTTAACTACAGCAAAGGATGGAGCAGAACCAAAACTAGAGAGAGGGGGACCTAAATGTTTCTTGTTGAGGGGTAAAAAGCTTAGGAATTTCCTAATGTAACTTTTTATGGTCTTCCTAAGGGAGTGAGACTAGATTTAGGGGGGAGGGTTCCCTGTAACAAGAAGGATAGAACGGAAAAGGTCCCCGAGTCGCCTTTCCGTAATTGTATTGAAAAGTCCTCTTTTTGGAAGAACCCATGGCCCCTGTTCCCCATTTGCTAATTTATACAACTAACAAAAGCACATAGAAAGGATAAAGAATTGCAAATGCCAATAGTGAAGAGCTTTTGGCAGATAATTTTTTCCTTATTTTGTTGGAAAGAATAAACAAGCCGACATGTGCCCACTTGAGCGTTAATGGGGTGGTGAATGCGACGTGTGGATGAATACGATGACCATGGTATTGGTCACAGTAGCCGCGCCAGTTTCGGAGCAACCCTTCAGTGACACAGGCGCTCATTACAAAACTCGACGCCATGCTTTCCGCAATGTAAGGGTGTCGTCGGAAATGTCCAGTGAAATATCGCGGGATTCGTCCATACAGTGGCGTTGCTCTCTGGTCTCGTTTTTACTGCCTCGTTATGGAAGTCGTGCCCCGGGCCCCAAATTCTGAGCTATTTTCCTGGTGGAGAACTATGACCCATACGTTCCGCACCCCACCCCGTTGTAAATATTAACATGCGTATTTACGGCACAGAGATAACTCTTGTTTATTTATCTCCACCTGAACTTACGTAGGGCCGGTTCGTGCTCGGCACGAAAACGAACAGAAACGCGCGCTTTTTGATACGATGTCGCCAGGCTTTTGAAGCAAATTCGTTCAAATCGAAAGTCTGCTCCACTATTGCAGAATTCGCAGGAAAATGTTTGCAGTGAATCGTGTGTTCATTTTCGTGCCGTGAACGAACTGCCGTCGGGGGCATTTACGCCCCTCCCCCTAAATCTCATATCCCTGTCGTATAGTTGACATTAATCTGGCACAATACTGTCAAGGAGTCCACATTCCACGGAGGCAAAATGTCCTATTTCACCGGCCTTTACTGTGTTTTTTGCAGGGCGACCACCCAGTGATCCACTCCGCATCCGCGGCTGAAACAAGCCATCACGCCCGGGACAGACCACAGCTGAATATGACAGTCAACGATACCTGTCGGAGTCTGCACTCTGTCCTTGGGTTACGCGATATTCTGCACGTCAAGCTTAACAGTAAACAAGCTTTTAAAATGTAACAAACAACAGACAAACAAACTTCCGAAGTCGTAGTAAGGTATAATTATTTTATAAAGCAAGTTTTATAAAGCAATCAAATTTGTACTTCAAACTGGAACAACATTTTGAAAGTTCCCGTCTGAATTTTCGGTAAAAAGGTTTTGCAAGATATCTAACTGTTGAGGTCTTTATATTAAACTTTTGCAGGATTCAAAGCACTCTCGGAGGCAACTAATATCTTATGAATAAAAAACAGCCTTGGCAGCCGGTAATTGTTTTAAAAACTTTACCCTCTAAATCCTACAGATTAAAAACTAGGGACTGGACGATTTAAGGTGGAAATTACTCTGAATTTAGATTTAAAAAGTTGAGCAAAGAACACCTTCCATTAGAAACTGAAGTGAAATATCAAGGTGTTTGTTTTATTAACCCGAAATCGTCTTGTCCCTAGTTTCAATCAGAGGGAGCGAATTTCGTTACTCATCAGAATCTAGAGAGTAAAGGTCAGTGTGTATAAATATATGTACAGGAATGTTGAAGCAAATATGATTAGAATCGAATGGATTTAAAAAATCTTTGTTTTGGAAGCAGAATATATTTCTGCACTAGACATCTTTTGTTATATTATCCTTTTTTTAACTAAGATTCATCGTTCTCTCGTCGGCTTCGGGCCACCAAAATGGCACACATTAAACTTTCTCCTCGTAATTGGTTTCTGAGCAATGGCCTTTAAGAGTGAAACCTAGAAATACTTGTCGGAAAGTTAAGAAGTAAACTGTTGACTGGGGAAAACGAGCTTATAATTGGGAATGACATTGCTACATAAGAAGCAGAATCATTGCTTCTAACGACTTTTATAGTAGAGGGTTTACCCTCAAGAAGAAGTTGTGGAAGCCATTTTGTTTAACTTTTCATTCAAATGACGTAACACAGCGCCCAAGGAGGGGTCTTGGGGGCCAACGGGGGCCATGCCCCCCCCCCCAAAAAAAAAACCTATGAATTTTTCCTTATCAAAGTGAAGATGTCAAGTGTCTTAATTGGAGGTTGTTTTGAAAAGAAAGGGCCATTTTGTTCAGGGAATCGTTTCTGAGCAGCTGCTGAATCGTGACTGGTGCGATCAGTTAATGCGAAAGCGCATCAGTGACGCTGCATATTTGTCCCACCCCCAAACAAAGAGTATGGACCCACCCATGACAGCGTCCTTTGCCGTGACGTCTTACCAGTTGTCGTCGGTCATTATGACCGAATGGAAACCATAGGCAGCGTCCATGCATGCTACCGGGGATGTGGCTGAGCGCATAGTCGTCAATGAGAGGCCCCATGGTCTCGTATAGCATGGACCTCTTGCAAACCTGGACTCTGCCGTCCATGCACGAAGTTCATCCATTCGGACCAGGATGAAATTTGACTGCCGAACAAATAATTCCCACACACTTTTGCTACTGCACTTGCTGTGTTTAAAAGCGGCTCGTTATCTTGCAATTCACCCCTTGTCTCTTTTTGGCGTCTCTAATGAGTCGCTAGTTATAACAACACACCAGTGCATAACTGATTTAGCCCCCTTGACCAGCCCCCTTGGCGACCAGCTGCACCTCCGATGAAAACCATATTCATGTACCCACCCCCCATGCCCGATGCTGGTGACGGGGCTGACGGGACATTGTGCTTAATAATCAAGGCCGTTTATTTGCTAAGCAAGACCAATTCCAATGTGAAGTGTGTATAATGATAGATACTGAGATAATTGAAGTGTTTAATGCCAATCCCTGCTCCGATCTTACTGTGACAAAATAATGGCATGATTTGGAGGCCGTGTTTAACTTCTAGGGCCGTGTTTTACTTCTAGTAAGTCAACACTGTCCCTAGTCCAAATGTGAGGATGCACTTACGTGCACCTCAGTTGTAATTGATACCTAATTGGCCTTGGAGAAGTCGTTATTTCTCCACAAATAATGAAATTTTCAACAAACCCTTGGCTGCTCGTACAGAAAATGCATTTGAACCTGGAAATTTACGATCAAGGCAACACAGAATTATTCGACGATTAGCATGCACAATTGCGACCGAAGAGGAAGGATTGCTGCAACACAATGTTAACATTGTTCTTAAACAACTGCAAAGCTTCAAAGCAAAAAAAGAAAGTTTGAGAACACAGTCTGATGGCCTGCTTTGTAATTTGTTAGTCTTTTTTCTGAATTGCGCAGTGAAAAATCAATCATGAAATAGATTAACCCGCTACCCTTTTTGACCTAACCACTGTTACGAGGCCATTATGCATAAATATCTAATCTGATTAGTGAGATAATTCCAGCTGGGTAGTGTACATGCGTCCACATCTTATCTCATTTTTAACCATAGGCGTACACTGAACATGTCACCTTTGTACCCAAATTTTGTGCTTTAATTACTGTTCATACAAATGGACGGATGGTAAAAGAAAGCCATATTGAATTAAACATCCAACATTGTGGAATCGATTTGAGGTTCGAATCTGATTTAAACTGAGCGTATTAACTATCTGGACGACAATAATGGATGAAACGAACGGAGTAAGACGAGTCAGCCGGGCTAGCGCGTCGTCCCAGCGTCAGACACAAGCGGATAATATCTCCGTTCACGGGAGCGCGGGGAGTGCTGATCGTGTGGGGCTCAAACGCCAGATCGGCCTGGCGGGATGCATCGCCTTCGTGGTCGGCACGGTCATCGGCTCCGGGATCTTCATCTCCCCGAAGGGCGTCCTGCAGAACACCGGCAGCGTAGGCCTGTCCCTCATGGTCTGGGTAGCCTGCGGTATACTGTCGGCTATCGGAGCCCTATGCTATGCCGAGCTCGGAACCATGATCTCTAAATCCGGGGGAGACTTTACCTACATCTTGGACAGCTTCGGGCCAGTGCCGGCTTTTCTGCGTATCTGGACGCTCATCGTGGCAGTGCGCACTGCCTCCTTCGCTGTCCTAGTCATAACCGCCTCGACATACCTGATAGGACCGTTCTTTGGAGAGTGCGGCGTCCCTGTGGTTGTCATTCAGTTACTAGGGGCTGCAATCATAGGTAAGAACAACTCTGAAGAGAACCAGCAAGCCAGTTTTATCACATATATTTAGAATACCACCAAGTTCTCGAAACTCACTTGCCTTTGAAGTTCATTGCAAGTTTGTAATCCGAGGAACGGACATCAATCATTGCTAAAGATTGGAAAACTCATCCGTGAGCAATAGTCATTATAAGGGAACTGACAAAATGCTTAAAATGGGATATTTTGCGGATGAATTAAAAAACGAATATATTTGATTCAGCACAAAATATGCACTAATTTAATGCAAATTTCGATTTTGTTGTAATTCCTACATAATTATGTCTAAAAGAACAAATTCACCGCGGCAGCCTTAATGAATACATGTATAGGGATGCTGAAGATGAACAGTGTATGCATTGTAAATAGTAACAACTACTTAATTTTCATATAAATTGAAATGTTACACGTATGTACATTCATGCTATGCTGTTTCTTACCTTCCACTAGGTCTCCCTGAAGATTAATGACGTTTTTACTTTAAAAGTTCAAGTGTTGTCAAACATTTTCTGCCGACATCCATGTGTGCTTGACGTGAAACGTCGTATTGATTTAAAACAGTATTAAATGGCACTCTATTTTGTGTTCGGCAACCATTTCAGAAGGTGAATCGTAGACTATACACTGTAGTAAAAAAAAAAATGGTTGCTCTGAGTAAATTTATTGTGAGTTTACAGTGAGTAAGTTTATTGGGTAAACTATATTGTTGATAAAGGAGGTGAAAACAAATATGCACTTCGATAAAGAAGGAACGCCCTATTCACTGTCATAATTAGCGTCTGTCCGTCACAGCCTATAAAGATAGTGTATCTTTACTACGTCACAGCTGCCGTGTTCTGCCTGAACAGCATTAGTGTGCCTTGGAGTAATCGGGTCAACATCATCTTTAGTATCGCCAAGGTCCTCGGGCTCATCATCATCATTATAGCCGGGATAGTTCTCATGATTCAAGGTATATTAACAATAACTACACATGTACTTGAAATAAAGTGTACGCCCTTCTATTCATTATGGCTCAGAGTTAAATGGATGTTTTCGTAATAGTCCTATGTACCGGTACTGATGACGTTCACGGTGTTTACCGCAGTGCATACTGGGATAGACTGGGGGTCTTGGGTGTGGTGTACGCGGCCGTTGTATGCCATAGAGTAGGGGAAATGGCAGACGAACGACTTACGTAATCACAAGAAAGTGAAAGGTACAATATTTTACAATGCACCATCAATGTTGCAGTCAAGACCTGGCAGTTCGACACCAGGACCAAGACCAACAGACCAAGACCGAGACCAAGACCAAGACAAGGCCAGAAAAAGTAACCCGAGACCAAGACCGAAACTAAGACCTGCAGTCCGAGACCAAGACCACATATATTTTGTAAATAATTCGATAGAAATCATCTCTGTAAATTGACATAAAACTGTGAAGATGGGCTATAAACCACAGAACGACATATTTAGTTTGACAGAATTGTCCTGGAATTTAGCATCGTTTTTTTGTTGTTACTTTGCAGTTTGAATTCTTCAATGATGTGTTTACTTTTTGACCTGCTCTGAATGTCGCGACCTGCATATTGCATGCAATCAATGCAACCTAAAGACACAATAAAATTAGAATAAAATTTCCTTTCCAACTGTTTTATTTCGCATTCATAAACAATTGGGAGTTTAACTTTTTGCCTGGTATGGCAGGCAGCACATGCATGTAATCCATCTGTGTTAAATATTATGACAAGGTTCACAAGGAAACACGCCTAGGATTTTAATACATGTATACATGTACTTTGGGCTAGCAGATGAGTTTGAAAAACAAAAATATCTTGAAGTAAGAAAACAACTTACATGCAACAAGTATAAAAAAAATAATGGGGTCTAAATAAAAATTTCGAACGAAAAATCATGGCACTTCATAATTTTATGCATTTCAGCTCAATTCATTTTAAAATGATAAAATTAAATCAATATATTTTCATTTCAAACTAGGAACTGTAATGCAAACATAGCATTACATTCCATTAAAAATCAAACACGAAAGAGTTTTTGATTGTTTGAAAATTTAAGCCTTAAATTTAGATTCTTTAGAAATTTTAACAAACATTAGGACTGAAAGATCATTCCTAGAAGTAGCCTGGTACACGTACATATACGTACTTCACGGGGTGATGGCAGCGCACGTGTTCGATGAAGGAAGACGTTGTTCCTGCCTTAGTGCTGATGCTGGGTTTTTCGCGAAAAAAAACACACAGCGACATCTCCTATGCTTCCCGTTTTGACACCAACGTATTCCTCGTGGTAGTTGAATGCATAATGTATGATTGCCGAATTGCCAAACATGGCAGCCGGAAAAGACTTTCTGGTAAGCATGACATCAACGACTTACGCACCAGCAAGGCACTCGTGCTAAAAACGCTATCACGGAATGGTGTCTTGTTGGTCAAGTTTGAGATCAACAAACAGTGCATAAATAAGCGTCTAGTTACCAGACCATGCAATGCGACTACGGGTTCACAGGTACCTTGACGGCAACAAATCACATATCTTTTTGCGGCCAGTAACCAGTGACAACTATTTTGGGGGCTGTCATGCGCTATCTTCTTCCTGGTGCAAACTTCAACTTTGCGTGTGCAAGTTTAAAGGCGAATGCGAAAGGTTTATACTTTGGCCACGCAAGTTTTGACTTTGGGAGCACACGTAATTCGCGCAAAGGGTGAAGTTTGCGCATGACACGCTACTGCCAGCTGTAGCCACAAAGAACTCTCGTACGTACAGTCCTTAACGGCTGTGCTTTCGTCTTGCGTGGTCTCGATTCAAGTTTTTCGTAGGCCTACGAACAATCAAAATTCATCACCAATCAGGAACAAAAGGGTGCAAAGTTTATTTTAAATTCAGTCTTGTACTGGTCTTGGCCGAAAATTCCGAGAACAGGAGGTACAAGATCAAGACCAAGACCGAGACCAATGATTTGAGACCAAGACCGGCACGTTCGAGACCAAGAACACCTT